AAAATTAATGTTATAATGTTGTTTTAAGCATTGAGATTAATGTGTACCTACCTAATTTAAAGATATGTATGTGTTTTGGTAAGCGATAAGTCGGTAATAAGTTCGATAAGGACAGTTAAATGCTAGTTTGCGCCCTCCTTTCTGCTTGCGCCCTCCTTTCTGCCAAGGAGGGTCGCGTACGTTTACAGCTTAAAGATCACTCGTCAGATCAGTAAGCCAATCCCTAAAGGTGGAGCTTAGTGGGTAAAAGTCTCCACATAACCACGCAACCAGCTGCGTGGTATGCTATGAGCATTCTCTACCTCCCTCCCCCGTTACCGGAGGGTTGCCCTTAATTGCTTCGGGCGCAAAAAAAGTTTAATGCTAGAATGAAATAGTGTACATGTATTAACCAAGGATAGAGATAAATATTAGAAACGCCTATAGGATCTCGTGAGTCGTGTAGTCGCTAGTGGTGTCACAGGTAAGGGTCGGTATCCTTTACTCATGTGGTCGTGTACAAATAAGTTTGTCAACTCTCACGAGATTCTAGCAATGTTGAAAATTAATATTAAAATTTGAATATTAATTGCTTAATTTTGAAAATTAATATTAAAATTTGATAATATCTGTTATCATGAAAAATGTGAAAATGCATGTAATAAATAATTAAGATTGATTTTAAAATATTAAATAAGACATGATGAAATTCGCCTCTTGCGGAACCACCGTACGAAATAGAATAATCCCAGAGTACTTTCCTTATATATTTACCATACTCTTTGACAGAGTACTTTCTATAGGGATAATGGATTATCCTCCAAGCTTGCATTACTAATATACACATATGTACATATATATGTATAGCCGTAGATGTCATTAAATCCCTTTGTCCATGGAGTATAATACCTACAGAGGTATAACACTCCATACCTCTGTCTTCATACCCTCTGTGAGGTAAACAATAAACATTCAGTTTGCTTAACTCGCCACCTACTGGCATACTTGTGAATTTTTACTACAAACTCGTTTTACATTACGTGACATTTAAATGATGAGTTTTTAGCTGTAGCATTTCGTGGTTATAATCGCTTGCAATAATTGACCGTAAGATGGCGCAACTATATTATGAAAAGCAAAAGAAAATGTTATATAGGTATAGAGTTTAACTTCTCTGGGCCGGCCGGCTTCTCACAGTTAACTATTCTTGTTGATATTTATATTTTTGAATAGCTAAAGAACTATACTAGCAAAATAACATAAAGTAATAGTAATTTTGTTATGTTTGAATTGAATATTTGGCCTTTTGTCCAGGTAGTTTTGAAAATTCACGAGTTCTTAGAGAAATTTCTTTACGGTAGCGAGTACGTACAATATTAGAAATTTATTTTTCTTTTATTGTAATCTACGTAAAATTTCCTAAACAAAATAATATTATTCATGATATATTATTTACGCCACGGAAACGTATCGGGCGAGCAAAGTCAAAATAATTAGAAACGGTCCTATGCCACAAATATAAATTTTATCGGATAAGGTCAGGTGGGGTAAATGCGAGGACTATATCGAGATTCTCGATATGGTCGAATTATTCGAGAATGACATATTCAACCATAGACAACATTATACTCTATAACAATATAAAATTTATAAATACCATGTGTATTAAGTATTTATTAGGCTAAAGTTTTATGTTACTTGCTAATTAAAATCTCTCTGATTACTAAGAAAATCAATATTTATTTAAAAAAAAGGCTCACTTATTACATTTACCCGGTGTTCAGGGTCAAATGTAATAAAGTTGGTCAATTTCTCAGGACTTTACTTACTTACTTACTTATCTTCACGCACAATCCCTAACGGGGTAGCCAGAGAGAACAGATCGCCAAGTGTCACGATCCTTACATACCTCTTTCGCTTCTTTCAGGTTCATTAACTTCTTCATACATGCACGTCTAGGTATCCGAGTACTCTTGACCCTCCCCTCTTCGAGCAATTTGCTCACATGTCTTCGAAAGTTAGTCTCGGTCTACCTCGACACCTTTTAATATTTACTTTCGCTCTATATATTTTCTTCACCATTCGGTCTTCACTCATTCGTTCAACGTGCCCAAACCATTGGAGTACGCCCCTATCAATTTTTGTGATAAGGTCATCTTTCAATCCTGCCATATTGCGAATCTCTTCGTTTCGCTTTCGGTCGGCTAAGGTAACGCCACACATTTTACGAAGAGATCGCATCTCCACTGCATTCAACTTGCTTTTATGCTTCTTCTGGCATACCCAGGTTTCGTTGCCATATAACAAAGTCGGTACCAACACTGCATTATGTATTGCAAGGCGTGCACTCTTCACCACGCCTTGCCTTTTTACTAATGCATTCAGGGCACCATTGACTTTGTTTCCGGCAGCGACACGCCTATCAACATCTAAATCACATCTTCCATCCCGGCTGAAAGCACTCCCCAAGTATACAATTTCATTTACCTGTTCTAGACATTCCTGATTTACCCATATTTCACATTTCGTTCTCTCTTCGTCCTTTTCAAATACCAGAACCTTAGTTTTATTAGCATTCAAACGGAGACCTTTAATTTCACATTCCTCTTTCATACACGTGACTAATGCCTGCAGTTCTGCTTCTGATGGTGCAATAAGCACTGCATCATCAGCATACAGCAGACAATTAACTTTTATGTCACCCAATTTCACACCCAAACAGCTGTCGAGATACAGTATGAACAGCCAGGAAGACATGACACAACCCTGTTTTACGCCCGCTTGGACGCTAAACATGGGTGACAGGTCATGCCCTACCCGCACACAGGCTTTACAGTCATAGTAAAGTGACTGCACAGCCCTTAACAATCGACCATCCACACCATATCCCGGCAACAGTTCCCACATTTTCTTCCTTATAACCTTATCAAATGCTTTCTCCAGATCCACAAAAGCACAGAAAATCTTCTGGTTAACACTCAGAAGCTTCTCCGTGATCATGCGGAGAGAAACATTTGATCCGTGCATCCTCTTCCAGGTCTAAATCCGCATTGTGCCTCCCATAAGAATCTTTCCGATTTCTCTTGCATCCTACGTGTCAAAACCTTCGAGTAAAGTTTACTTGCTAAACTGGTCAAGCTGATCGCCCGATAGCACCCGCAGTCAAAATGTGAACCTTTACCTTTATATAAAGGCACAATGACCGCGGATCGCCAATCATCCGGGACATCTCCCGTCCGCCAGCACAAATTGCACAGCAGATGAAAGCTGTCCCAGATGCGAGGCCCACCGTACTTGACCATTTCAGCAGTAACTCTGTCTAGTCCCGCAGCCTTACCACATTTCAAACTTCGAATCGCACGTTCAATTTCTTTCATGCTGATGACCTCAGTGTCATCGAGGTCCGTGTCTGGCGTGCCAGTCACGGCGTCACCCCCAGATCCTTCACTAAGATCATGACACGCATACATTTCTCTATAAAATTCACTCCATCGCTGCATGACGTCCGATTTTACTGAGAGGACGTCATTGGTTCTCGAAAGCACTTTGTTCATTCTTAAGGCTGTCGCACCACTCCGGGACCTTCCAACCTCTTTCCAGAAGAGTTTGGAGTTTTCCCTAACGTTGTGCGACAACCTCTCGTCCGCTTCTATTCTACACCTTTCACGTTCTTCCTCAATCAATGTTTTCGCATGAACTTTCTGCAGCTTGTATCTTTCTTTCATTTTCTCTCTCATATGCTCATCGTTACTAGAGGCCAAGTAGTCTAACCATGCTTTTTTCTTCTTTTTTACAGCTTCTCTCACTTCATCATTCCACCATGCATCTCTTCTTTTACTACTACCTCTTTTTGTCGTACCACATACTTCTTCCGCTGCACTTACCATTCCATCCCTAAGGTTCTGCCATGTTCTCTCCACACATTCTTTCCTGCCATCGATGGTGTCAAGCTTTTCGGCTACCCTCGTGTGATATTTGTGCCTAGTATCCGCTTTCTGAAGCTTCCAGCTTCGAATGCGACAGACCGACTGTGGTTCTGTTACTGCCGTCCGGTAGCGCCAACCTGCGAACAAACCCCTAAATCTAGTAATTACTAGATAATGATCCGTTCCCAGGTCAGCACCCCTGAACACTCGTGTATCCATCACCTGTTTTCGCAGTCGGTCATCCACCAGGAACAAATCAATCATACTTCTCTCATTCTTTCTTTCTCTAGTGTACATATGGATTTTCCTGTGATTAAACATAGTGTTTGTCACAAGAAGACCCTTTTCCTTGGATACAGCCAGTATAAGTTTGCCAGCATCATTAACCCTTTTTATCACCAAACTTTCCAAGCACCGACTCGTATCCTGGTCGAGCGATACCTACCCATCCATTCAAATCACCACATACAACAGTTCTTTCGTTTCCCTTAACCAAATCTAGAACTTCTCTTACATTCTCCCAAAACTCGTCCAGCTCAGCCCTGGACGACGAAGCTACCGGCGCATAAACAGCCAAAAGGAATAACTTCGTCAGTCCCATTTTGAAGCGAACCCAGAGAAGTCTTGAGTTCACAACCTTGTATTCAGTCATAAGATCGACCAACCGGGACGATAACAGCACTCCCACTCCCTGGCAGGCGTTCTCGCTTTCCGGGACTCCGGACCATATAGCTAACGTCCCGCCAGGGAGCTCTTCAGTACCACTGCCACTTTAGATAGTTACAAATCAGGGTTAGTAGCAATAAAATGAGAAATATGAATTAACCTTGGCTTTGTATTTCAAACTGATCGCATGACAGCTTACAAAGATATGAACTTTTTCTTACAGACTATTGAATTAACTTTGGTAATTATTTCAAAGGGTCACATGAAAGCTTACAAAGATATGATTTTTTTCTTCTTACAGACTACGTAATTCAATCTTGGGTTTACGAAATAATCACATTTCTGAATTTAAAATCAAAATATATTATACCACGCTTGGTTTTTGTAGGATTCGGCAATATTTTAACGATCGAATCAGCGGTGATTGAATCAACATCTTCTATATAGGCCTATAATAGGCCATGCAAAGGTTGCGCCCTTACGTCGTACAAACTTTATCTCCCAACGACTGTCTATCTGTTTTTGCACGAAGCCTACGTAATATTTATGTCCTTTCACCAAAATATATTTTACAATCACCCATTTGTTAATATCTGGTCCAGTCTCCTCTTCTGCCTTATTTTCTTTGTTCATTTCATCTTCATTGTCTGACGCAGAAAGGACTTCAGCTTCTTCTTCCACGCATTTACTTTCGTCAGAATTTGCATAGTGCACTTCATTATCTGAATCTACGTCTGTAGTGTAACTTTCTGAATCTTCAGCCTTTTTCTTCACTTTTCCTTCTTTCTTTCCTATTTTCTGTTTATTTTATTTATTTTCGTTATTGTTTATTTGTTTGCGATTAACTTTTCTTTTTCCTTTAACACTTCAAGCATTCTTGCAGACGTGACAACTTCAGCACCTGAGGCAACTTTACGTTTGTTTTCTTTATTTGCAGGCGGATGTTTTTGCTGTATAGTTGAAAGAATCATCTGTTCAAATGATATTGTTAGCTCGGCATTAAAAGCTTGCATCTTATTTGATTGAGGAGTTTCTGGTACGTGATTCTCTGATGATTGATAATTGACAATACATGATCGAGGTGTTGTTGGAATGGCCTCCTCCTCGGAAGCTGGTAGATTTAAAATCGATGGTATGAGTTATTAAAATTTGACCGATGAGGATCAGAATTCGCCTAATTACCTCTCGTAGGCTCCCTGAAAGGTGCTTCTCCCAGCGCTCTAAAACATCCTTAGAGAAATTTTCTCTTGGAATGATTTCAAAATTGAATGGAAATATCCCTAATTTTTTAAATTCACTCATGATAACATCTTCACTGACACTGATCCAAGTTTCGTCGAAAAATTGCGAGAACAGCGCTTTAGGTAGCTTCTTACCAATATTCTATTGCTGCAAAGTGGCAACAGTTTGGTCCCATATTTGTTTAAAAGACTTGAATACAGAAACATCTAATGGCTGCAGTTGGTCAATTGTGTGGGCTGGTAGTTTAAGAAATGTTGTCTTTGGCCAAAGCAGTTTCAACTAGGTCGGGAGACACATCTGTGGAGTGGCCATCGTATATGACCAGTACAGGCCGTTCGTCACCCAGAGCTGGTATAAGGACTTTTTTAAAATAGTTTTTAAACACCCCTATCTCCAACCAACCATTTGGGGTGGCAGCGTAGGTTGTACCGGGATATTCCTTGTCTGGTTCCCCACCTGACCCTATAATTTTTTTCACAGTATGAAAAAGGTGTGTCTCTCAAACATACAAAAAAAGAAATGTCGTATCTCTAAAAATGTAATTGTAATTCCGCAATTTCTAGGTCCATTGCTCAAATTAGGTATATTGTAGCGTTTTCTTTTTTTATCTCTATTGTAACCGTGATAGCTCATAAACAAAATCAATTTAATGTCTGTGCATTAGGTTAATAAAAAGTAATTTTTTTCTTTCTATGGTAGGGCACTTCAATAAGTTATTGAAAAAAAAAACTAAGCTAGCTCCAATTATATTATATGAAATTCATGTTTTTTTTTTTAAATTGAATAAGCATGAGAAACGTGCACACAGTGCATCTGATGATAGATAAGTTTATGTTGTGGCCTATAGACATCTACATTTATCCTGTATTAAGAATCAAAATGCAGATGCGTTATCATCCCTCAGGACAAAGATGAAATTGCCTCATGTCCAGTGAAAAGACTCTCCTGTTCTATGCACTCACCACACAAAACACAGCAGCAATAAGCTGCTATTTTACGCTGATATTCTGCGAGAGCGTGGTCCTTCCCTGATCGAGCCGACCCATTCATGTTCCTACCATAAAATTGCTGCAGCGTAGCTCTTCCACGTACCTACGTCATGTTAGAGGTATGCATAACTTACGTTATATTAGATAACAAAAATAGATACTTAATACATTGGCAGTATCTGGCTAATAATCTGGTTAATATGGCTATCAAAAGAATCGTATAATTAAAAGAACAAAAAAATAGATAACAGAAAATCTATTTGGAAGCTGTAGATTTGAAAATAACATAAACACTACAATTTTAGATATTTTTAAAGATCTCCCATTTACTTTTAAAGATCAAGTTATTATTTGCAAAGAATCTGCTTAACATTAATTTATAAAACTTCGAGACTTTTCGGCAATTAAATGCAATAAAATATTATTACTTGCCTGTATCTCACAAAATAACGCTTATTTATTTTTCTTTTTCGTAGCGTCAAACTCTGGATGTCTAACGTTATCGGGTTCTGCTTATTTTATTTAAATTAATATATTTATTATCTTAATATCATGTTATTTATTGTGCTTGTTTTTTTAACTGACCAATATTTATTTGAAATTCCTCCATATTATTAGCCTATACTAAATTTGGGAAAAGTTTGTGCCCACTGCCGGACTAATGCCCAAATAATCAAACGCTGCTCAAAAAAATACCTGGCGCTATCCCTGTCACTTTGAATCAAGCTGACTGTGACACAACGAGACTTAACGGCATCTTGAAATTGAGTAGCGTTTGACTATATGGCCAACAACCATTTAAAAATTTAGAGACGTGCTGTTACGATTAATAAACAGTGGCAACCATTGCATCCTCTTACGTTTACTTTAATGCATATTAATAGAAAAAGGTCAATTTAGTAATAACCATTGAGTTATACAAAACTAGAGGAGCAAACCACATTACCGCGCGTCGAAAAAAATGTAACCACCATCCAACCGTGACGACGTAGCTTTAAAATTACTAAACATTTTAAACAAACATATATCTATCTCACTTACACAAGTTGCGAAAACAATATCATCGCTAAGATTAGATAAAGATAGACAGACAAACATGCAATGGCGGGTTGGTGTGGCTTACTATATGAAATTTTACCCAATATACGAAATAAAAATAGTTAAATAGTAAATGTGTGAAAGAGTATGAATGTGTAAGCCCGAGATGCTATGGATACGAATGAAAGTCGGCTTAAAGAAGCTGTTCCTGCTAGGGGTGTACGCCCCAGACATGTCTAAGCCCACTTACATCCGAGAGCAGTTTTGGGACATGGTAAGGATGGTGTTGACAAAATGTAAGGAAAATGAAAATATTATTATGTTAGGAGACTTTAATGGAAGGGTTGGGGTGAAGAGGTCTGGTTATGAAAGGATATTGGGAACGTTTGGTGATGAAAGTATAAATGAGAATGGTGAAGACCTCCTCACCGTATGTGCGGAAAAGAATCTTTTTGTGACGAATACTTTTTTTCGTCATAAGAAGATTCACATGTATACATGGGAAAGAGGTGATGATAGAAGCATGATAGATTTCGTAATTGTGGATGAAAGAATGAGGAGCGCAGTCGTAGATACAAGGGTTTACCGGGGGTCCAACGTAGGGATGGATCATTACTTGGTCTTATGTCGAATTAATGGTCTTTTAAAGCGTTGGCGGCATCGGACATCTGTATCTACCACTGCGTTACAGCGTATAAGAATAGAGAAGTTACAAGATGAAGATGTGATAGAGAAGTATAAATGTAGACTGAGAGAAAATATTAGATGTTTGAATGAGTTGTGTATGAATGATTTAGACTTGAATACTGTGTGGGATAATATTAAGAAAGGTTTGGTGGATACCGCCACCGAAGTATGCGGTGTAAGTAAGAGAACAAATGAAAGGAAAAGTAATACGTTATGGTGGGATGATGAGGTACGGGTGGAAAGTTGAATCAAAGAAGAAAGCATGGTTAGATTTACTAGCAACCAAAGCTGATAATTCTTCTGGTATGAATGATGAGATTGAAAGAAAAAAGGCAGAATTTAGACGTCTAAATAAGAGAGTAAAAGAAGTTGTTGAAAGGAAAAAGAAAGAAAGAACGGATAAGAATGATAGAAGGATATCTGATAATTTCCAGGCTAACATAAAAATGTTCTGGAAACTCGTAAGAACTGCCAGGGGAAATACAAAACAGCCTATAATAAATGCTATAAGAGACGAGAATGGATGTATTCTGAATGATGAAGTTTCGAATTTAAACAGATGGAAGGAATACTTTGAAAGCGTGTTTATGAGTGAAGAGTCGTATGAATTAAATGAACTAGAAATTCCGAAAGAAGTGGAAAGGGGTATGGAGATAAGTGCAGATGAAATAATGAAAGCAATGAAAAGCATGAAAGCAGGTAAGGCAGCTGGATATGATAGAGTATCACTCGAGATGCTAAGGGCTGGAGAGGGAGTGGTGGCAGGCCTGCTGTACACCTTGTTTAATTTATGTTGGGAATTAAAACGGGTACCGGATGACTGGTGTAAAGCAGTTATAGTACCAATATATAAAGGAAAAGGGTCACAGCAGGACTGCAAAAACTACCGCGGTATCAGCTTGCTTAGTATTGTGGGTAAACTGTATGCTAAGGTGTTAATTGAAAGAGTTATGAAAGAAACTGATGGAAAAATTTGGGATGTGCAAGCGGGTTTTAGAAAGGGAATGGGGTGTACAGATCAAGTCTTTTCCATGCGCATGATTGCGGAGAAGTTTTTGGCCAAAAACCAGAAAGTTTTTTGTGCGTTCATGGACTTGGAAAAGGCTTATGACAGAGTGGACAGGAATGTGTTATGGCAAACACTGAACTCATATGGGTTGAGCGCTGGTTTGATACAGGCATTAAGGTCTCTTTATAGGGACTCTAGTGCTTGTGTCAGGATCAATGGGGTCTACTCGGACTGGTTTGGCATCTTCCCCTTGGCTGTTCAACCTATTTATGGACCGGTGTTTGCAAACTTTGAAAGATGAAGAATGTGGGTTAAGAATGGGCGAGTTAACCGTCAAATGCCTTTTGTATGCCGATGATCAAGTCATACTTGCGTCATCGGCGGCAGAGTTGCAAATGATGGTTACATTAATGAACTGGGAATTAAAAGAAAGGGGAATGAAAGTGAACGCAAGTAAGACGAAAGTGATGGTTTTTGAAAGAGAAGAAAGCAAAACGGTATGTGAAATAAGAATAGAAGGAGAGTTGATTGAGCAAGTGGATGAGTTTGTGTATTTGGGATGTGTATTTAGCAGGGATGGTAGATATGATAGGGATATAGAACGACGAGTAAATGCAGGGAATAGAGTGAATGGGGCACTACACTCTATTATGAAGAACCAGAATTTGTCAAAACAGGCACGTATGGTAATTCATAATGCTGTGTTAGTCCCTACTTTAATGTATGGTAGTGAAAGCTGGGTGTGGCAGAAGAAGCACGAAAGTAGAATAAATGCTGTAGAAATGCGGTCTTTAAGGAATATGCTAGGGTGTAATCTGAATGACAGGGTGAGAAATTGCGTGATAAGAGATAAATGTGGTATGCAAGATGATGTTGTGACCAGGATTAAGAAAGGAATGCTTCGGTGGTTTGGTCACGTAGAAAGAATGAATGAGGAAAAAGTGACAAAGCAAATTTATATGGCAGATGTGAATGGCCGAGTCGGGAAGGGACGCCCTAGGAAAAAGTTTATCGACCAAATTGGCGATATTTTGAAAATGGGCCACGTTAGAAGTACCCTTAACTGACGAGCATGTATGCGTAGATATATGGATGTAAAGGAGGCGAAAGAGGTATGTCAGGATCGTGCCAAATGGAAGTCCGTAGTCTCTGCCTACCCCTCTGGGTGACAGGCGTGAGTGTTTATGTTTATGTAAAAATAGTTCTTTTAAGCTACAGTTAAATGTTTTTATATTAAAAAAGTATATGTTATTTTAAAATCTTTATTGCGTCCCCTTAGAAAAAAAAGGATACAAAGCTTATCAGTATTTTATTGTACCAATAAATCAAACAGTATAAAATAGAAAATAAAATATAATTAATATAAAGTTTATATGAAATTATAATTAATATAAAATTATTAATATAAAATACGTAATAAAATATATTTAATAGATAATTCGTGAATAAACTAAAATAAGAATAATTAATTATTTTGTATGAAAGTTAAAACGAGGTTTTTATTATAATTTCCAAAATATTTAAAATCAGAGGTAACAAATAACCTTACTCCATTAATTATATAGTCTCCCATTAATGTACGATAATCACAAATGCGGAAAAGTGGCAACATTGAACCTAAATGGCAATATTTGATAATTTTATTTAGTTATTTTAGGTCGTACCCTCACGTACCTTAGTTATTGTTTAAATTTGTTCCTTATATTCTATTTATTCATTAATTACCCTACCACTAACCTATATCATCCCGTGGATGTCGTAAAAGGTGAAAAAGGGATGCTGAAACGGTAGCTGGGTAGCACCGTCTTCCTGATAAGAACATAATATTAAAAATACTGCGTTACGATTTCTTATATTTACACGAACACTACTCATTTAAATAATGCTGGTTTTTACGGCTTTTATCGCGTATATTTAACTTTTCAAAACTGCGTTAGCCAATCCGCTTGTGGCAGCTTTGGCAAATTTGTTCCCCATGAGGCAATCTATGAAGGACATATGTTCAGCACTTGAATTTGATAAGCTGTAATGATGATGATGATGATACATGTTATTGTTTTCCGGTGTTCAGTGTAAAGAGTCAATATAAATGATATAGTTCGTTTTCATTTAAATGTTCATGAGCGACAACGCATCTATAAAAGGTGTGATTTCCTGTAGCTTTAACTTTCATGATACAGGATATGATACCTTTTTGTTTGAAGTTAGTTGCAGATTAATCAAGAATCAATCTATTAATGTAAAATTATTACAAGAATGTCGGTGTTCTTCCAAGTAATACACATTATTAATTTTGCATTTATTTCGATTGATTTATCTATACAAATCGCTTTGAACAATTAAATGATCGAATTTCGACCAAATGCGACACCATTTCTAATCAATATTCCAATTATCTCAATTGCATATGCCAGCAATTAGAAGATAACCGTGGACTGGATGAGAATCGTCATACTGGCATAGCCCCGCTAGTACTAATGGATCAGCTCGACCATGGAAGCGCCAATCTCTTATAGGATCTAGCGTAAAATAGCAGCAAAATGCAGCTACGTTCTTCTGCCGTAGCTGTCTCTTAAGAGCCAAGGATCCTTTTTACTGGTACATTAAATACATACATTTCATTTTAGTTCTCAGAGGTGACAAGCATCTAAAAATTGATTCATCAGTTCTGCAACAGTACCCTAAAACATGAAAATAATATTAATAAATATCGATCCTTATGACGGACCGGATTCCCATACAAAATAAAATAAATGAAGATTTTTTATATTGAGTATTACTATAAATATGAGGATGGTCATGCGACTGACGTTTTCCTATAAATTTCTTAGTACAATATAGTCATCGGACTTGTAGCTACTACAAAGTTACTTTTAATAAGAAATCTCATTTATACAAAAATGGTAAGTTTAATTTGACTTCTATTTCTTAATATATAATATAACGCTGCAACTATATTATAGTTGTAACACAAATAGGTCCGCTCGACCTGAGACCACGCTCTCTCAAAACACCAGCGTAAAATAGCAGCTCAGTGCTGATGTGTTTCGTATTCGCTGTGGTTAGTGTAGAGAACTGGAGACCCTTTTTACTTGAAACGAGGCATTCCATCTTAGCCCTCACGGGTGACAACACATCTGCATTTTGATTCTTAATCGAGGATAGATGTAGATGTCCATGGACTACAGCATCCACTTACCATCAGGTACTGTGTGCTCGTTTGTCATCCTAATCTATAAAAAAATGGTTGTATTAATTCAGATATAATGTAAATTTATAACTAGCCGGGGTAGTTCAAGGGCTAGGCGCTTTCCTTAAATTTCATAATATTTTAGTTTTTTTAATCCCCGTTGGCACCCGCGAATATATTAAACACAATTTATACATTTTACAATTTGTGTTAGGCGTAGACGGTTAATGAAAATATCATTAAAAGACAGTTGCCTAATGGTTTAGGGTGCAGACGGCGAACTAAAAAGTTGTTGGTTCAAACCTACCATTCGACTAATGTTTAAGCGTATGTTAAGTGATTAACGAGTAAAAGATTATCTAGAGTAATGAACAAGAGTATTAGTAACGTTTACAGCATTGCTAGTATTTATTACGGACAGAAAAAACTTAATAAAGTTCACAAGTACAATATACGCCTAATTGTCTGGAGCTAACTTGTCATTCTAATGAAATAATTGAGTACCTAATGATATTCTTATGATATAGATATAATATGTGTTTAAATAATTTCTATTGTAATTAGCCTAGAGAATCAACGTTTCGCACAATTTGTCTTTGACTCCAGCACTAAACCTTTCTAAGGTGTTGAACCGCCAGTGTAGTCAAATTGTCGAAATATTTTTAAATTCTTAGAATATGTACAAGTTTTTTTAGTTCTCATAGTACCTTAATACTTTAAGCGAGGTTTTGCTTCTCGAAAAGGACGTTAACGATTTGGATGACTTTTGGTATTATTGATATTGTTGTTTTATTTTCTAAGCTTGTCTAGGTACACAGGTGTCGTCCTTAAGTTAATTATAATTTATTTTTATTGTTTAGAGTTCGTTGCTTCTATTCTAACGCTGAACGAAGCTGGTTTGCCGAAGTAGTAGTACCAAGTAGTAGTATACTGCTTACTAGCCATCCATTCAATAAAGTCCACAGCTGATCATTGCCTCATAGGAAGGATTTAAGCATAGCAGTCTCGCCTCACAGGCGGATTGATAACCGCAGTTTTTGATTACTCTGAGTTGTTACCAGGAAGATGCTGCGGCCCATCTCACTCACGAGACGATATAGGATAGTATATATTTTAACAGTGCTACTACGGAGGGGCACACTGAAATGATCGGGAATAGAATATTTCGGGTTAAGTTACAGTAAAACTTTTTTTAGAATTTGAATACTGGCCTCTTAGAATCTTAATGACTTTCAAACAATTAAAAAAATATCTAAAAACAAAAACTATGTTGGTTTAAAGTTTACACGTCGTTAACAGAAACGGAGCTCACGCGTGAACATTTCCGTGCCATAATTTATCACAATTTTTGTCGCGGCTTGTCTCAAGATAAATATCTCAGCGAACTTGTTTCGATTTATGATGCGCGGTATATTGTCGTTTGACTCGGTACTTCAATACCGAGTTAAACGACAATATACCGCTGGTATGCCGAGTTCCGACGCGGTCGTGTGTCGCTCAGCACTGTTTCTTCTGCAGGTCGACCAAGAACAGCGGTTACGCCTAAAAACATCGCAGCTGTGCGAATTATTATATTAGATGACCATCATGTGCCATACGAGCAGATTCGGGCTGTTATCAGTATCGGAATAACTGCAATTCAGTCGATATTACATAATGAGCTGTGTGGAAGAAAGCTAATTTCCCGCTGGGTTCCCCACCATTTGTCGAAAGAGCAAAAATAGGCTCGTGTAGATTGGTGCCGGAATACTTTGCAACGCTTCAACGGAGGGAAGTCATACCGTTTATAATATTGTCTCAGGTGACGAATCATGGATTTATTCATACGAACCTGAAAGAAAACATCAGTCAGCAGTTTGGATCTTCGAAGACGTGGTCAAACCAACGAAAGTGGTTCGCTCCCGCAACGTGTCAATGTAAACGGTCGCTACGTTTGTCTCGAAAAAGGGGCATGTTGCTACAATTCCTTTACAGGAACGCAGAACGGTACCGGTACCGAAATCCGAAAAAATAACCCGAAACGTCGCATCATCTTACATCACGATAATGAGAGCTCCAATACGGCTCGGAAGACAAATAATTTTTTGAAGCAGGAAAACGTTGAGCTGATGAGCCATCCTCCGTACAGTACTGACCTGAGCCCAAACGATTTCTTTACATTCCCTAGAATGAAAGATTTATTATGCGGTCAACGGTTTGAACACCCCGAAGCAGCTGTGGAAGCGTACAAATCAGCCATTTTGTCAACATCAACTTCAGACTGGAATTACTATTTTAATGATTGGTTTGCACGAATGGAAAAGTACATTAAGTTGAACAATTTAGCTATACCGTGCATGTGGTTTTTCTTATTCCCGATCATTTCAGTGTACCCCTCGTACATAGTAATAATACTGGCTCCCTGGCCAGCACACCTTGGAAGAATCCAGTTAACCAAGCTGTCTAAAATAAGCTGGTTCTTCTCAGCAAAACCACAGTATGACGCTGCTTTCAATAATTACTATAACATTTCTATATATTCCTGAAAATATCACAGGCAGTTTCTGAAACGGCTAAACTAAATAAAAGGCGCTAATACGAGTCCCTGAAAAATGATTATTATCTATTTATTTATTGTACAGATAGTTGACTCTTTTGATCCACGTGCGATGTTGTTACTATTCGCTATTGGTTGTATTCTTGCCCAAACTCTAAGTATGAGTATTGCCAATCATTCCGCGACGAAACACAGCCAATTTGCTTGATTTATTCCGTAAGGAGTAGGGCTATATGATAATTCTTGTTTATAGCTTTTTTAGTATTGAAATAAGTATGTATAATGATTGTACATATTATTTTAAATAAATAAATAAAAAAAAATTAATTACAGGGAGTGAAAGTTATCATATTTTCTCTACTAGCCGTCGTGATTTGTAGTGCTTTTCCTTTTGAACGGGAATTAACCCCAAATGCTCATGCGATCCCTGAATATGTACTTAACCGTGGCCTTATAACATCACATGTTTCACATGAGATTGTAACAGCAGATAAATCGGATTTAAAAACTGCTACGAGCGAATCTGTGGTGGGAAACTAGTTACCTTTACCCAAATGCGTATAGTAACTTTAATATACCCAGGTATGTTTATACACATTATACTCGTTAATATTGTGTTCTATGCTCGTATTGGTGAAGGGAGATGTTTTAAGCAATTGCATATATTTTAAACTGTCTCGTCAAGAGTAAGTCTGGTTTTTCAATCATCAGTTAAAAATCATTCATCAAATAAATTATAACCCGACAGAATATAACAGTAAAACAATTAAACCATTTCATTCATATAACTTTAATTTTTAATTTATGTGGCAATTAATCCTATGAATGGCTTTATTGAATACACAATTGAAAAGTCAGCGTGAACCCATAAAAATATTATTTAAAGTGATAGTCACCCAGCTGAAATTTTACGTAATGGCCTTTCCTTAGCACGACTCAGGAAAAGTTGTTGCTAACTTTACAATGATTAGATTGGTAACAGTCCACTGCTGGGTGATCCATCCCTTCCCGCTGTTTGAGAGAATACAACATCTTGCATTTATTTTAATTTTTGTGAATCTAAAACCGCACAACAATCACACAGTAAAGATAAATAATGTTGACATTAACGTTGACGCTCTTATTATGGGACACATCACACTTTAGATAAGATTTAATTTAGTTATTCTAATATCATTCTACAATCTATCCACTTGTAGGATACAGGTTTTCGGGTAACATGATTTGGTATACGATTTGCAAAACGTTTGTGAATTAATTTTATTACTTAAAGATTTTGTGACGCTTTTTATCTAAAGTTATTCTCCGAAATTGTTTTGTTATAGAAATAATTACAGGAGATATATCAATAATACAGTTTTCAATTAGCAGGTTATATATTACTGGGGCCCGGGGCCATGGCCTCAAGCCAGACGCAGATGTATATTAAGAGACAACATCAGCTACCATCCTAACTTTTTAAATGATGCCGTTAAACATTTTTAAAACTGTGAAAATAGCTATCTTATTTACTAAATACTTTTGTTTAAAATATAACGAAAACTGGTAGTATCAAAATGTCTGAAAATAGTGATAATCTGCATACACATTCGTCAAAAATATTCATAAATATAAAGAAATACATAAAGTATATTACTTTATTTATTTTGAAATAATATGTATGTATTTTGAATCTTACAAACACTATAGAAGACTCTTAATGATTTTTTTTATACGGAGAGGATAAAAAAGCGGTCATTTTGGCGGCTGGCTCCGAAAGGTAGCAATCAACGCTACGCCACTGTCAGGAATATCCCAACAAAAGATCTTAGCCCATCAAATAAACGATAAAAACATATGAAATAAATATTAAAGTTGAATCAGATTTATAATAATTTTAGTTGTTTTTGTTATAGGTCTTACAACTATACATACCAAACACCCTATTTTACCATTATATTGATGGGTGATGCAGTTCCAGGCACAAAATTATCTAACCAATTAATTAACCATATGTATAAAAATGAATTTCTGTAATAAATAGTTTGTCTATATTTTAATTGTTATTTGATTTCGGTAGTCTATAAAGTTTTATCTTGATAGTAGCTAATAATAAAAATATTCATGATGGGGGCTTTATGTCTGTCGCTTGATAGAGAGAATTAATAGCAATATCTGATGAAACAAAAGCCATTGATTTAGCAAGCGTTGCTAATGACAAGGTATCCATTATTATCCGATTTGCTACATGGTTAAGTTTTGCTCCTTGAGATTGCGCAGTATACTTAACAGCAAGCTTAATCACGCGTTCACATGCGAGGGACTTGGAAGTTGCACTCTTTGCTTCTTTACCGGCCTGTTGAGCAGCAGTTTTTGCTAAATTCATCATTAAATCTTGATGATTTGACATACCATTTTTAGCAAACTTTACAGACATTTGAACCTCAATCGATGCCGTTAACGCACGTCGCATAGCGACAACACTAGCAGCGGTTAAATATGCAACATCACCTGCATAAAGTATTGCTTTTTTTGCTTTCAATTCTAGTTTTTCCATTTTCAGCTTTTCCTTCTTTTCGTTAGCGATCTCTTCATCGATTTCAGAATGTTCAATTTCCATCTCAGCAACGACATCTGGGTTAAGTGCATAAATATTATCTTTTGGATCCATCCAATCATCTATGAGTCTACCAGTATTTGATTCTTGTTTATTTATGGTATCAGAATTAGAGGTGATGTAATTGGTCCCATTTATATTCTTATCTAGAACAATAACTTCCGTTTCATTAATAGCTCTGTCTCGGTTTTCTCTGTCTAGAACGGTTTGATTCAAAAATCCTTTAACAGCAAATGGATTTTGATTTAAAGCTATTACATGAATTGGTTTTTTATCTCCACTAGAAATTACAGAGTAGGGTGCACTTGGAATATATATATTAATTTCTTTAGGCTGCAATGTCGAAGTTTCTGTTGGAGTAGATGATAATGGTTTCTTTAAAATTATGTTAAATATTGTTGGTGTAGAATCGAACGGAGAAGATGTTGTAGAATTTTCATCTTTTAAAGATATAGCTCTTTTTTTACGCAGGAATAAATCAACTGATTGTTTCTTTGATAATGCAGTAGCATATGTGATATCTTTTAATGCTGATACAATGGATACTTCAGCAGCTATTTGTGCTAATCCGTATACAAGCCGATGCAATTCAGGTTCTGTAGATGCTCTTGTGATACTTAAAATATGACCCGATAATGTTCTTGATATGTAATCTAGAATTCGTCTCGTTTCTATAGCGGTTATACCTTTATTCTTACCGGGAGCATCAAGAGCTTCTCGTGTGATTCGAGTAATTTTATCTTGTATTTCTAATTTGGTTAATATCGCAGAAACCAAATCTTTAGATATTTGGTAAAGGTTCTCTTCCATTTGTGGATTTTGAGTTACATTTTTAGTAGTCTTAAGAATGGAATTATCTAAATGTTTAATAACATTATGAGGTGAATTTAAGAGAAATCTTTCCCCAGCAAGCTTTGCATTCATTTGATTTTTAAGGTCATGCACGGGTGATATGCCGGCAATAATTCTATTAACCTACAACAAAAAAATACAGTTAAACAACACTCAAGAAATAATACCATAAATCAAACATATAAATGATTTAATGACGCATCGATTAAGGATCTTAGGGACCTTCAAGAAACGAGCTTACTTCTTTTTAAAAGGCCGGCCGTAGCAAGAATTTCCTTGGAGTTGCAGTTGATCACGTGCTGAAGGCGTCATTTGCCGTTAGGTGAATATGCTCGTTTGCCTCCTCTTATTTCAAAAAAAATAAGATTTGGTAATAAAACCCACTACACGGTGTTGATGGGAGACTTCAACGCAAAACTAGGCACAAGAGAAAACGGTGAGCTGAAGTTAGGGAAATTTGGAGTAGGGCATCGGAACCGAAGGGGCCAGCAGCTGGCCGACTTTATGGAGAAAGAGGGACTCTTTATGACGAACTCTTTCTTCCAGAAGCGGCCCCACAGGAAGTGGACCTGGTCGAGCCCCGACGGTTCGACAAAAAATGGGATTGACTTCAATCAATTATGACGACCAGACGCCAACTGTTCAGTGATGTCTCAGTGATCGCAAGGGTAAAAACTGGCAGCGATCACCGGATGGTTAGAGGCACACTGAACCTAAACGTTAAGTTGGAGAGGTCTCGTCTAATGAAGTCAAGGCTCCGTCCCCCTCGTGCTCTAATCCAGAATCCGAAACCTTTCAGCTCAAGTTACGTAACCGCTTTAAGTGCCTACAAGATTGCAATGCAGTGGACGATATGAATGACAAGCTCGTGGAAACTGTCCATGCGGTCGGAGCAAGACCACAAAAGCAGAAGAATACAAAAACTCTCCGATCACACTCTTAATCTCATGGCTGTTAGACGGGAGATGAGGCTGCAATCGCCAACAGATTTGACAGCATACAGGCAACTGAACAGACAGGTCTCCAAATGCATGCGGCGAGACTTACGCAACTTTAATACTGCTCATATTAAAGAAGCGATCGAGCGGAACCAGGGCTCCAAAGTCTTTGCCAGAGATCTGTCTGCCAGTAAGAGCCAACTGTCAAAGCTGAAGACTGAGTGTGGCAGCATCGTTTCCGGGACACCTGAGATTTTGAGTGAGATTGAGAGGTTCTATGGGCAGCTGTACACATCATCGTTGGAGCCACACGCAAGTGTGAGTAACGATCCAAGAGCAAGTATTATCCGACACTATTCCGATGATATCGGAATAATATAATTACGGCGGAGCTTCTGAAAGCGGGTGGAACACCGGTACTTGAAATCCATCAGAAGCTCTTCAATTCCGTCCTCCATGGTGGCACTACTCCAGCGGCGTGGAGCAGAAGTGCGGTGGTCTTGTTCTTTAAGAAAGGCGACAACGCTCTCTTGAAGAACTACTGACCGATTTCCCTTCTGAGACGCGTCTACGTGCTGTTTTCGAGAGTCATTACGAAACGTCTCGCACGCAGACTCGACGACTTCCAGCCTCCCGAACAAGCCGGTTTTCGAAAAGGCTTCAGTACCATAGACCACATACATACCCTGCGGCAGATTGTACAGAAGACCGAAGAGTACAATCTGCCACTTTGCCTGGCGTATGTGGACTATGAGAAAGCCTATGATTCTGTCGAAATTTGGGTGGTGCTACAGTCCTTTCAACGGTGCCAAGTTGACTGTCGGTATATCGAAGTGCTGAAGTGTTTGTACAGTAGGGCTACGATGGCTATCCGAGTACAGAACCAGAGCTCGAAACCTATCCAACTGCAGAGAGGTGTAAGACAGGGTGACGTTATATCCCCGAAACTCTTCACCGCTGCATTGGAAGACGTTTTCAAGCTACTGGACTGGAAAGGATACAGTATTAACATCAATGGCGAGTACATCACTCACCTTCGATTTGCCGACGATATAGTTCTTAGGGCAGAATCGCTGGAGGACCTAAGCACTATGCTCAATGAACTCAATGGTGCCTCCCAACGGATAGGTCTTAAGATGAACATGGACAAAACAAAGATCATGTTTAATGTCTTTGTCACACCTAAGCCGGTAGTTGTTGGGAGCACTATGCTCGAAGTTGTTGACGAGTACATTTACCTGGGACAAATAGTCCGACTAGTTAAGTCCAACTTCGACCGAGAGGTCAATCGGCGGATTCAACTCGGCTGGGCAGCGTTCGGGAAATTACGACTTATCTTCTCGTCAGGTATATCTCAATCTCTAAAAACTAGATTGTACAACTAGTGCGTGTTGCCAGTGATGACTTACGGATCTGAGACGTGGTCCTTCACTGCTGGCCGTATGAGGACGCTCAAGGTCGGTCAGCGAGCTATGGAGAGGGCTATGCTCGGAGTTTTTCTGCGTGATAGACTCAGAAATGAGAATATCCGCAGTAAAACCAGAGTGACCAACATAGCCCAACGGATTAGTAAGCTGAAGTGCCGATGGGCCGGCCATATAGTTCGAAGAACCGATAACCGATGGGGAAGAAAGGTTCTTGAGTGACAGCCTCGTACCGGTAGGCGTAGTGTAGGGAGACCCCCCACTAGATGGAGTGACGACCTGGTAAGATATGCAGGAAGTTGATGGATGCAGGTGGCTCAGGACCGTGCTTTGTGGCATTACTTGGGGGAGGCCTATGTTCAGCAGTGGACTTGTGAAGGGCTGTAATGATGATGATGATGAATGAAATAAAACGAACTTACATTAATGTATACAATTAAAACCACGATGCAAATACGCAGCATTTTTTAGAAATTGTACCATATATTTCGATATCAAACTAACAAATAACTTGTGAGCATTTTAAGAACAACCTGTAAAAGTTTAGTAATAAATCGGTTACAGTAATTGGTCCTTAGTAAGTAATAAAGATTAAAATCGATCATTAATTGAAGCTAAATGTTTTGCTTTTGTTAAATAAAATATCAATTTATTTTCGTTGGGTACTATAAAACTTTAGCTGCTATGGTACTCCCGTAAGAGGTAGTTAATATTAAAAATATTTTGGTTAAAAGCTACCAAAGTAACATTAAAAGAAACATCAGACAAAAATCTTTGTTATAGCTCATTTCTAACGTATTATAATGAAATAATAAGATTACTTAAATATATGAATTTTTAGAGATAAAAATGTCTCCTTAATATATGTATTTTTAATGAAAACTATTCTATTATATTACTATTAAATTTTAAAATGAGAGTAGAAAAAACTAAAACAACATGCATTGATCATGGGCTGTTATAATCTTAGTACCTATCGTACATATTGTCATAAGTTCTACATGTGCAACATTTCAATTTATTCAAACGTCTGGAAGTAGGAACAAAAACTAAATTAAAAATACTACTAAATTTATAAATGCATGCATATAGACAAAATTTAATAACAGCGACTTAGAAAGAATTGTGAGTACTTAGTTACTACAGTTTATACTAACCTGCAAAAGCGTTATACATCGTAATCCGGCGCTTGCTGTGCTCTATTTTTCTATAAACAAACAGAGGTCGGTACACGTAATTGCTACTTCCTGCCGTCTCCAAAACTTCTATTCGATCAACGTTAGATTTCAAATTGCCTACAAATTTGTTCATTTCTTCAATTTCTGATTCGATTTTCACGTTATCTTGCTTATTGTTCACATCATTCAATCTATTTGATTTATTAAAATTAATCATCATATCTTTTTCGATCGTTAAGTTGAAGTTCGTATGTTGAATAGTATTTTGAATGTGACACAAAGCAACAATTAAAATTAAAATCATTATTTTAGATTCAGCTCTAGCTTATTTAGCTTTAGACCTAGAGTCTAGACGATTGCAAATTAAATCTACTTGTGGAATATTTAAATTCATCACATACTGTGGATTATTTAGTTAGCTATTCCAATCTAATAGTAACTAATATAATGTTGTGATTAACACTGTAACTTGACTCATTACCATGCTATTGTGATTTTCTCTAAATTATATATATTTTTGCAAGCAATGTATAAATCAAACATTACATACATAATTTCAGGCATTTGTAATTGAATTTATAAATATTTTAATGTAATATAACTAAAAAAATCATGATTTTTGAATTTTTCTTTTACTTGTGCTAGTACCTTGCTTTGGCCAAATTTCATTATTCTACAGGATGTAAAGACGAACTTTTTGTATGAAAGCTAAACAATTAACACACAAACGTAATTTTGTTTCTTACCTTTACGTTGTTTTAAATTTCCATTTTGTAAAATAAGATACTAGAATATTTAGAAATGATGGCAGGAGAAGCAACGGTATGACTGTGGTTCCTTGGGAGACGGGTAAAGGCATAGTGTGGGAAGCTACGTGTTTAGACACTTCGGCACTTCCTCTCATCAGGGCTACCTCGTATAGAGGCGGGGCAACATCGGGTAGCTGTAAGAGGCGCAAGTATGAGTCTGACAGGCAACTACATATTTGTGCAATTTTCTGTGAAAAATATCAGTCCATGAGCTCGTGCAGTAAAGGTCCTAAGGAATTTTATCCTGGATTTGTCGTCGCAACATTCGAAATCGTTTACCCGAGAAATATTGCCACGGCCGCTGTATAAGCCATCACCAGTGCTGTCGTCTGCATAGCAATGAATGTTACCAATTTGCAACATATCATTGATATGCAAAAAAACAGCGTTGGTGATAGCACGAAGCCTTGAGGAACACCACCAGTTAATGGTTAACTCAGAAAACCACCATCTGAGCGACCCCAACGGAAACCGCACAGGCGGTCACTAGTCAGCTGGTGATCCTCAAGATACCTCATGAGGTGGCAGTTTACAACGGATACTATAATTTTGAAGAACAAGGAGATGATAGCGATAGCCCTGTAATTAGAAGGATCTGAGCGGTCGCCTTTTTAGCTAGCACTAAAGCTGTCTTCCATGATTTCGGGAGTAGGCCTTGGGAGTGGGACTACTGGAAAAGACGCGTTAAAATCGGTGCCAACTACGGAGCACACGTCTTTTCAGCACAATAAAAGGGACGCCATCAGGCCCGACACGACTTGTTGACGTCCAAGGGAGGGTAGTTCGCTGCGCACCGAGCGTTGTGTAAGCAGCACATCCTGCATAGAGCACTCACATCGCGTGATGTTCGGCGCTGTGTTCTCCCCGTCATCAAGAATCGAGTTGAACGCAAAGAGAGAGTCTGGCAGATCAGCATTTTCCCTTGCGGCGTGGGCCAGTGAGTCGTCTTCCTTGTGCAGAGATAGAAGAGATGACTGACAGAAATTCCCTTGGACAGCCTTAGGGAGAGAGCAAAATGCACGTGTTCAAAAACTAATAAAGTAAAGTAAAGTCAAACTAGTATTTTCTCGCCAATTCTGCCGATGTACTTTGCCTTGGCAATGACACTTTTGAAGGACCTGGAGGCGGAATTATACTTCTTTTTAAGAGCGTTGGTATTTGAATCCCGAGACAACGATCCGTGAGCCCAGGCCTGGTACCATTCTTGCTTATGGCGTAATGCAATTTTGCAGGAGCGACCAAACCATGGCTGGGTTCTTCCTCCGATAGGTACCACAGATGATGAAATAAAAAGTTCTATTCCCTGTCTCAGCACCACATCAACGACAGAATCAGCAAAAATGCTGGGATCATCCGCCGAGAAGCAAACCCGCCCCCAAGGGTAGGATGCAAAAGAGATCGCATCCCGTCCCAATAGGCTAACCTACAATACCAAACACGGCGGCAACCTGCAGAACGCAACCGCGATGGGAGTGTGAGTGGCATCGTTCTCCGGACCAGACAATGATCCGAGGAGCCAAGGGCCTGATATCCGTCCGGATAAGAGGCCACCAGAAGGTTCAACAGGGAAGGTACGTGATCTTCCACATCTGGGATCCGCGTAGGCGAAGTAACCAGTTGCGTCAGACCATATGCCAAAGCAAAGTCACAAACAGATCTACCCGCGTGATCGGTTAAACGAGAACCAAGCGCGTGGTAGGCGTTAAAATCAAAGCAAATCAAGCATCACGATCTTTGCGGATGGGACCTGTTGTATATATCACGGTGTCTGCAGCAATTTGGACGTGGTCGATTAGTCGGCCAGTTCGGGCATTACCGCTATGGGACCTATAAGGGCCCCCGTAGACGCGGGGATGGTCGTCGCTGTCTAGTGTCTACGTGCAGCCATAAGATGGATATGTCCGTACTTTCAAGGCCGCCGAGGTGTCGAAAACAGATATCCTCTCTGACGTACACGCGAACTCCAGCCCGGGGCATAAAAAAGTGTTTTAATTTGTACCCTGGGTAGGAGAGATACGAAGTATCAGCCGATAGGGTAGCTTGGGCGTGGCGACCACCTTCCGATGAAATTCAGAAGCAGAGCTAATACTTCACGCTGATTCTCTGAGAGGTCGTGGTACCACCCCGGTTCGAACCAGCCCTTACGTGCAACAGCAAAAACCGCGTGGATCTACTGCTGCTACAACGTTTTTTCTTTCAAAAATCGAGAATTAAAATTAAAAATAAAATTTAGTTAAATCTGTTTATAGTTTCATTTTACCCACTGTTTTTATTCTGTGCCACCGTCCTCTATATATACTAGTACGCTGGACTGGCTATACCTTACAAAACGTTTGTGCCGACCCGTGAATAATTGTAACAAGAATATTCGCATTTCGTAATGACTATTATATAATTTACTTGAATACTTAACTTATTTCCGACCATCCCATAATGTATCCTACATTGTACCATAAGTACACCCATACCGGATGTAATGCGCGCAGCACTAATATGAAAATGTCAACATCTTAACAATATTAGTTGGTGTCTCAAGAGTTGATTATAGGGCTTCATGGTTATTTGTAACAAGAGGTCAATGAAACAGCAATCAATGTTCATAAAATATGTATTTACAAAAAGTTTTATAGTCCAAGCGGTGACCATCGAAAGACGTGGATCATCCGGAATAAGTAGAAAAATATGCATTATTATTTTCTGGGTATAAGTTACGTAATAAACCAGCGGTCTGGAGGTTCGTAACTTCACTGCGATGTCATTGAAAATCAGACTTTTAAAAATATTAAAGACGACGCCAAAGAGCTAAAAAAATCATAATAGCTTTTAAAGTCGGTGCAAATTCATAGTGCATAGAACAATTAAAATCCCGACTTTTGAAGTGTCAACATTGTTTTATTTTATTCCTTTTAGTACTTCTTATCAAAACTCTATTTTTAGACTCTTTGGGTGAACTAAGATATATCAAAAGCTCGAATGTCATCTAAATATCTAGTCAAAGTTTATTAATTATTTTATTAACATGAAAACACTCCTGATGAATTCTAACCTATTTAATAAAAGGAATAATTTTAAAATCAGTCTACGAAGGACGAAGATATCAAGTAACTTACATACAAAAATAATACTTTCGAATTGAAATCCTCCTCATTTTTTAAAGTCGGCAAAGTGTTAACTTTTTCATAATTAGGCCAACGTTTGATCGAGATCTCATCAGATATTAAGGTTAACCTTGATGATAAACTGACTAAAATTAACTGTGCGCACCATCAACGATAACGATCAAGCAGCCCATTAAAGTAACTATGAAATCCAGCCATACGTAAAGTCAGTCGATAGCAAAACGGTAAAGGACGGACTAAAGATTTTATTTGCACCCGAATCAAATAAGAGCAACCCTCCGGTAACGCGGGAGGACGTCTAAACTCCACCTTTTGGGATTGGCATACCGATCTGACGAGAGATCTTTAAGCGGACGCGAGCCTCCTTGGCAGAAAGAAGGGCGCAAGCGGCGAATAGCCGCTTAGAAGTGTGCCTGACTAAGGCAGATTACGAAATGTGTTAAGTCTGAGAGAAGAGAGTAGGCTCGGCCTGAGCCGCCAGGAGGCAGTTTATGTCAGCCGAAAGCTTATTGGGGGGGAGGGGGTGTCCGAGATAGAATTTCCCAGTCTGCGCACACTATAGCGAGTGTGAAGAGGGGTTGCATAGGCAGCTACCTCGCGAATGAGGCGATTTGAGTGGGACTCTGAGGCTTTGAAGAATCTCTTAGAGAGTGATTTGAGGAACTGCTGAATTGTAGGGAGCTACGTACTAAAGAGTGGATGGTTTTCTTTAGTCTTGTCTCAAGTCAACATGTTACCCATAAACACTTAGCTGACACCGAGACATGACACCTGAATCCTCACAGATGACAAATATAGTCTGGGCCACAGCATCATCCATAAAGTGGACAGTGTGCTCGTTTGTCATCTACTTTTTATAAAATCTCACTGTGTGGTGGCGGCGTCTTAGCTTCGGCCATAAAAACTTCGACATCCTTTGTTATCCTGTTAGTCGTTTAAATCGTACTATGTGAGACCTAACATAATATTATACACATCGGTTTAAAATCGCAAGTCAAACCTAGCCATCGTAGTAAATCTTTTTCGTTATGTGGAAACTCTAGTCCAGCGGTCTTCTGTAAAGAGGTTTTATAGGAATAAATGATGTTTCAATTCCGTGACAATCACATAATACGTTTATATTATTTTAAGTTAAAATATTTGAAAATTAGCGTAACGTAGCATTAAATAGTTGGTAAAATCAAGTAAATTTAAATGAACTGTTTATTTTACATTAAAAAAAACATAGCTAATATTTACTATGAATATTTATTGAAAAATATTCTAAATATACGTTTAACAAATAACTAACATTTTAATATAATATTTTTAACAATTTTAAACCAACCTACATGGCTTAGACAATGTAGATAAATGAAAGAGGTTTACTAATTTAAGATAATCAATTTACATTTAGAAGTGTTCATTTTGCTAAAACATCGAGAGGATTGATCAACCCATAAAAGCGGGCAAGACTCTAATCCTATTGTGACCGTCCAGTTGTAAGTTTTCACTGAAGGGAGAGTCATCCACATCTTTATTTGATGGGAGTAAGTCACTTTCCTGACCACCTAAATCACGACGAACTCTTGGTTCCGGAGTCTTGGGCTCAGATGCATCCAAACCTTTTTCCGCAGCACCAGATTTCGCAACATCTTTTCCTGTAGCTGATGGTGTTGCTTCTAGTTTTTGTGGAATTTGTTGAATCACGTCCGAGTCTAAAGGCGCGGAAGCGCAGATCGCTAGTGACACTAGCGACGCGACGACAAAAAACATTGAACGCATTTCCGGGCGATCCTATTTTGATTTAATTTTACTGTAACTGTGAAGCCATACTTTCAAAGAAGCGCCTTATAAACGTTGTGTTGAGTGCAGAATCTATTAAAATAATTGAATCTGTACACTTAAAGAATATTAGTACATTTCAAGAGGAATTGACGCATATGACTGGATACAAATTACATAAGCACATACCAGTCGTACAAATAATCGAATAAACACGAACCTTACCTTGGCTAGTGCTAATAAAACGCTAATATCAAATGCGTCCGATAAAAATATTACGGTTGTAACAAATAAAAAATAATATTGAGGCATAAGGTTAGAAATATCTAATTATTGTGAAATCCGCGCACCTCAAACGGCAAAAGATTCGACACTACCATATTTTATATAGTAAAGTAAAGTAAAGTACAGCCGATGTACGTCCCACTGCTGGGCAGAGGCCTCCCCTCATTTATGAGAGGGTTTTAGGGCAAGGAAGTGTCCGCCGCGCTGCCCCAACGCGTGTTTGCGAACTTCACATGTCTTCGAAATATTTTTTTCCTTATTTCTCAGACATGCAGGTTTCCTCACAAGATTTTCCTTCACCGCCGAGCACGTGGAAAATCAGCACTTAAAATTGCAATTAACAATTTCATTGCTGCCAGCGGGGATCGAACCCGGGTTACTCGCGTTCTGTTATATTTACAGCGAGCGTTAACCATCTGAGCTACCACGGCTCTTCGTGTTTTATATACTAGCATGCATTTCAAAGTTTTGTGTTTAATTACGATACAAAGATAATCCATTAAGGGGAAATATGGCGAAATCAGAAAGATCCAACTTTATTGTCTTTTGTAATAAAGTAATTTGTAATTGTTAGGTCACCTTAAGAAGGCAGTGTTTTTTTTATAGAATAAGGGTGACAAGCGAGCACACAATCCACCTGATGGTAAGTGGATACTGTGACCCATAGACATCTACATCCTATGGCCCATAGCACCCCCATGTCGTGGAGGCCTATGTTCAGCAATGGATTTTTATAAGAATATATGTATATGAACGAAAAAATATGGTGAGGTTAAAAATTGAAAATTCTTCGAGCGTATAGGTACATAATCCGCTGTCGGTCCTGCACTTCGCAGATAAGCGATTTTAGTACCCGATATTTCACAGTTTGGGCACTGTTATAATATTGTCTTCTCCCTTTTGTAAGTCTCTTTATTTAATTAGTACTATAAAGTATGTATTAATAAAATATATTAATTAATTTAATGCGAAATGTCATAAAAGACCTTAAAGTAATCAAAATACAAAACCCTGTGACAGTCGCATAATTGTAAGGTGTATTAAAATTTGTGTTCAAGAAGATGGGTCTGCTTTTCGGCTGGTAGGTACTGGATAGAAATGGGGCCACGAAAAAAGGGCACTCGAAAACACCCGCTTTTTTGATCCAAGCGGTGCAAGTTTCGGCTGCGGATAGTAGGGAGAGCTTCATCTTGCAATACCGTCACTCCTCTCACCCCGCAGCCCCACCACCATCGTATCAACGGTGCGACCCCGCCAGTGTCGCGGAGGATAGGGTGAGTGGCGCATCGACATACCAACACTCCTCTTCCCTCGCGACTTCTACTCGGCTGCGGCGATATGGGGAGAGGAAAACATCGCCCATCCACTAATTCACAGCCGAAGTGGACTCGCCAAGCCTAATCACGACGTCAATGCCTAGTTGGGGGTTACTGTAGAACCTTTTATCGGTTGTTGGTACTTCAAGTTTCTTCAAACCTATGTACAATTCAGCTTACTGACTTACATCAGTTAACCTTGTTTTGCTGTGAATATCCTATTTATCTATCCCGGTAGGTAATAAATATACCGGTCTGAAGGTATAACGATCCAGTATAATTACAGGCTGTGATGCACATCGCTTAGCCTTAGTCATACTTTTGTGTCTGCCATCCAGTTCAATGTATAAAGGTTTAACTTGTAAGATCCTAACTTACTGAAAATTTCACTTTAAATCGACTGCAAAGTTTGAACCCAACAAAAGGACAAGAAAGTGAGCTAATATTTTTTTATAGGATAGGATGACAAACGAGCACACATTCCATCTAATGGTAAGTGGTTGCTGTGGCCCATAGACATCTACATCTATCCTCGGTTATGAATCAAAATACAGATGCGTTGTCACCCGTGAGGACTAAGATGGAATGCCTCTTTTCCAGTAAAAAGGGTCTCCGGTTCTCTACACTCACCATACGAAACCCAGCAGCATTAAGCTACTATTTTACGCTGGTATTCTGTGAGAGAATTTATTGTCATTCATTATTCACTCATTAGGCCGCTACTGAAAACTTCTTGACAGAAAAACTAATAAATGATTTTTTGGCCGATTCAAACCCGGGACCTGATGATTAGCAGGCGCGTTTACGATCACTAGACCATCGTGGCAGTCAAACGTGATAAAAACCAAAAACTAAACATAATACCACAACTATTTAAAGAAAGCGCTTATTATCAGTGTCGGGGATTGTAAACAAAGCGCTGTTAATTGATCACATGCGACACTGCAATGCAATTCATTTTATTTCCAATTTTTGTATAAACTCGGGAAAATAAAGTAACAGGCTACATACAAGTACCTTCCACTGATGACAATCATTAACATAGAACCTATCAAAATTCCTTAGCCAACATAGGCCTCCCCATTCATTGCTTCATACATCACCCGTATGCCACCCGTTTTAGCAACTGCAGTTTTTTTTTTAAATTATTTTGTGTTGTTATTAGCTTATTAGGAAGATGCACCAGATGGGTGGGTAGCTACCCACCTGCTGTTTTACGTTACGCTGGGCTGGTTAGCACCAGACTTCTTTTCATTTCTAAAAAAGTATTGACAAGGAATAGTCATAGTTGTAAAACAGAATGGTAAAAGACCTAGAAATATTAAACATCTTCAGATATGTATTTTTAACCGACTTCAAAAAGTAAGAGGTATTCAATTCAACTGTATGTTTTTTATGTGTTAACTCAGAACTTTTTTCTGGTAGAATCGATTTTGATGTTTCTTTTTTTTTACTTGAAAGCTGATACTTCTCGTGTGGTTTCATATAAATTCGATCAAGGTCGGACCAGTAGTTTTTGAGTTATCCTTAATAATGCGTATTTAATTAACTGCGAATACATTGATGATATTCTCATTTTATTTAAATTGCAGTCGGTTGTACAAAATTTTTAATTTTATCACTTGTTCCTCACATATGTATTGCACGAGTACAAAAACACCTACAATTCTCGTGATAGCTAAGAAAACCTAACGCGCTAAATTTATAAAACTGCTTTAGATTGCAATGTAACCAAAAATCACATACTTTAATGTTGGAAACTGTTTTATACAACTTAGAATTGTTCTAAAAACTACGGATTCCATCTTTTCATAACCGAAAATGTATCCTAAACTTTCGCCTTAGAAAATAAGTCTTTTAGAATTTAAAAGTCGTCATCTAAAATTCCGTAAAAAATCTTTTTTTTCCAATAAAATCTCAGTCAGTTGCGGTAAAACTTTGTCAACATATTGCTTGTACTTCCGCGAAGGTTATAGGCATAGTTGGACCCGGTAGGTAGCGCTGTTGTAGAATCCAGATGTCACCCGTGCGAAGCGGAGGAAAATCGCTAGTTAAATAATGTTTGTACGTATTTTAGGCGCTGCCAGATTGTTGCGGTGAAACTGTCAATTTCAGTTTATACAAAGGTACTCTGTGACTGTCAACTAATTGCTTGGACTTGCGTGAAGGTCATTGACATAGTACAATGAACTTACAGAGGCAGCGCGTGTATCGTACCGACAAATACATATCATTTAAAAACATAACCCTTCCAAATTAGTAGCAACTAATATTATATTAATTCGATATACTTTGTGGTAAGTTTTATGAGAAATCGAAAATTTTAAATTCAAAAACATAATAAATAGATTACGAGTTATTTCAAGTTTCAAATAGATTATGATTCACGGTTTTTTAAATATTTATTTATAATATACAAACAGTTGAATAACGTTTTCGAAGTAATCCACAACAAAACAAATATACATTCACGGTCATAATAGCATTGAACATATTTATTCATGTTATTAGCGAGATATCAATGCGTCAATGCATTAGGTTCTGGACATTTTGGTTAGCATAATTATACATCCATGTCGGTAGATATAAAACCTACGAGTGCGTGCAAGGGATCATTAAAAAAACGGTATTGATCGAAGAAACGTTAAAACTTGGAGAGATATTTACTAAGAAAAAATATTTGTAACTAAAAGCAGAATGAATTCCACCAGGACAATGGTTTTATTACTGGCACTCGCCGCATATACATACGCTGCACCAGCAACCCACTCTACCGAAGAAACAGAGAAAACATCGCTGACAGATGCGGTCCCACTGGTTGAATATATCGAGACTGTAGACGTAATACCAGGTTTAGCGTACGTTCATCCACCAACAGCAGCTGCCACTGAAGAGACTTCTCACAAGGTTGCAAGGCGATCTGCTTTTGTAGAATATCCAAGTAATGACTTGATACTATCAAACTTTGATGAAAGTAAAAACGCGGAATCTGGCGTCGTTGGCAGAATCAAAGTGCTGCCGACTTGGGTTGGTTAATGTATTTTAATATTTAAGTAGGTTTTTGTGATATTTACGTGCCTAATAGTTCATTAGGCACGTAAATATCACAAAAACTAGTTAGTTTTGTAACAATAAATATAATATACCAAATATTATCATCTGTAATCATTGTAATAATAAAAATATTATTTATAATTTCGCCTGTATCCGTATTTCTTATTGTAAATCTGTCCTTCATTAAGAAAAACAATTATACCTATACCCATACAAAAACAACATTACTATATCTACATCATAGATAAAATAAATGCAACAAAATACGCTTCTTAACCAATTTAAAAAAAGGATGTTCTCAATTCGACTGTATATGCTTTTTTATTTTGTACGTATGTTACGCAATATCATCGTCAACTGTGAACTAAATTTAATTATAACAACAATAAATAGGTTATGCTTCAGCGATGGCTTCATATAAATTTGAAAACAAGTGTTGATCTTGTTACGGATATAAGGCTTATTATTGACCAAAGAAAAGTTACTCTAGGATATTGCATCGACCTAAAAAGGCATTCGACACCGCCAACAACAACATACATTTAAAAAAACTAATATATTTGGGAATTACAGATACAGCTTATGATAAATTTAAATCGTATTTTACACAAATGCGCCAAATTGTAAAAATTGACGACCAGCTTAGCGAGCCTTAAATAATTATATGCGGCGTTCCTCAAGAATCCATTCTGGGCCGTTTTCTATTTTTAATTTTCATAAATGATAGATCATATAAATGAGATTTGTTGAAAGGGAGATATCACTTTTTAAGCTCAAGATACCAGTGTTTTACTTTGGAAACTCGATAGATACAGAAATAAATGAACCAGAATGAGGCCTAAAACATCTTGAATACTTAAAGGCTGTAAGCAAATCTACTAACTATTATAATTTCAAAAACACAGTAGTTGAACACAGAGGAACCGGCCAAATCCTATCCCAAAGTAAAGTTGACTAAAAAAAAAGTACTGGTAAATGTCTGGTCTATCAGTCCTGGTGCCATCCACTACAGCTTCCTAAGCTCTAGCCAGACTATTACGGCGGATCTATATTGTCAACAATTGCAAACTATGATGGAAAAGCTAGCCGTTAAACAACCGAAACTGGTCAATTGTTCTAGACCATAACAGCTTCAGGACAACGCTATACCACACACTCACTAGATTAAAGAAGCTGCGATTGAAATATCTCTCCGACAGCCACCATACTCCCCGGACCATGCTCAAACAGATCACCAGTTTTTCTGAAATTAGGAAAATATCTTGCAAAAAATATTCAATTCCGATGAAAACCGCCTACAAATATTTTTTTTGTTTCCGGTCTCACAAGTTTTTCAGCAAAGTAATCAATACTACATTTAAAATAGCAAAAGTGTAAACATAACAAAGTTCATTCATACATTGATTAAATAAACTTCATAATTTTTTTCGTTTCGCTTTTTCCATATTAAACGCCAATTTCATATGTAAGGACCTAATATTTATTATGTATGCAAATGGTCAATAAAACAAAAATAAATAAGACAACAATAATGACGATGAAGATGACAAATCAGCGACTTTGAACAATATCTAAGAAATGAGGCCGAATTTTCTGTTTCAATGTGTATATGCTAGTGTGATGTCTTAACCTCAATATTTTCATTTCCTCCGGAATGGGCCTCCAGAGGAAATTAAAGCATTTCTTCAAACAAGAAATACCGTGGCATTCGATTGACCCTAAGATTTCCGCGTGGCAGACTGAAGGTGGAGAATGTGGGAAAGTGCGCTTTGTAAGGTTATGGATGTGGAGCTAAATAGCTCGGTGGATCGAAAGCTTAACGAATTTAAACAAAATGAAAAAGTTAAGGGCTAAAGAAGACGAACAGTCGAATATTTGTTTACTGGATATTTAAAGCTTGCCGTGTATGACGGATTAATAGAATTCATCGCCCCATTTTGACCAACGAGTGTCGTATTGGCGAATATAGTAAATATACCAGAATGAAATTTGGGGGATAAATCGCTCGCGTCCGTAGGCTTCGACCACCTAATCCTAGGCCCACCCTACACGTGTCCCTCGGTGGTGCTAAATGAGCGACAAGCCGACAGCACTAGCACAGACTCGGCTCCTCGCCGTATTGTATTCCTCGATGTATTTTATTGATTAAGACTATAAAAACTACCGTGGTATCAGCCTTCTTTGCATTGTGGGAAACCTGTATGCTAAAGTACTAATTGAAAGGGTCATGAAAGAAACTGATGGAAAATTTTGGGATGTGCAAGCGGGGTTTAGAAAGGGAATGGGGTGTATGGATCAAGTCTTTTCCATGCGCATGATCGCGGAGAAGTTTTTGGCTAAAAACGAAAAAGTTTTTTGTGCGTTCATGGACTTGGAAAAGACCTATGACAGAGTGGACAGGGATGGGCTATGGCAATCACTGAACTCATTTGGGTTGAGCGCTGGGTTGATACAGGCATTAAAGTCTCTTTATAAGGACTCTAGTGCTTGTGTTAGGATCAACGGGGTCTACTCGGACTGGTTTGGCATCCATAGAGGTGTCAGACAGTGCTGTGTGGCTTCCCCGTGGCTGTTCAACCTATTTATGGACAGTTGTTTGGAAAATTTTAAAGTTGAAGAATGCGGCTTAAGAATGGGTGAGTTAACCGTCGAATGCCGTTTGTACGCCGATGAACAAGTTATTCTTGCGTCGTCGGCTGCGAGTTGCAAATGATGGCTACATTAATGAACGGATCATTAAAAGAAAGGGGTATGAAAGTGAACGCAAGTAAGACGAAAGTTATAGTTTTTGAAAGAGTTGATCGAGCAAGTAGAGAAGTTTGTTTATTTGGAATGCGTTTTTAGCAGGGATGGGACATATGGTAATAATATAGAACGACGATTGAACGCTGGAAATAGAGTAAATGGGGCACCACACTCTATTTTGATAAGTCAAAATGTGTCAAAAAAGGCACGTATGTCAATTCACAATGCTGTGTAGGTCCCTACTTTAACGTATGGTAATGAAAGTTGGGTGTGGCATAAGAAGTACGAGAGTAGAATAAATGCAGCAGAAATGCGGTCGTTATGGAGTATGTTAGGGCTAAATCTGAATGACAGGGTGAGAAATTGTGTGATAAGAGAAGAGTGTGGTTTGCAAGATGATGTTCTGAACAGGATTAAAAAAGGAATACTTCGATGGTTTGGTCATGCGGAAAAAATGAATGAGGAAATAGTGACAAAGAAAATTTACGTTGCAGAAATGAACGACAGGGTCGGAAAGGGACGTCATAGGCGAAAGTTTATCGACCAAATTGGGGATATACTGAAAACGGCCCAAATTAGGAGTACCTTTAACCGACCGGCATGTGCAAGGTGTGTCAGGATTGTGCCAAATTGAAGTCTGTAGTCTCTGCCTACCCCTCTGGGTGACAGGCGTGAATGTTTATGTTATATGTTTGTATACCAGAATGATCTTATGGTTTCCATATGATGGCGATATAATGATCCCGTTTACGCCATTCATTATACTAGACATACTAGACATGTGTCATTTATTCATTTCTAAAGACCAGATACTTGAATAGTATTGATTCGTCGTATGAACCGGGTCATTCGGGTCGATCATTCATATGGATCAGTTTCAGTACTCTATGAACTGAGAGACCCGTTCGATAATGGCAATGTTCGACATAACTATACTCATTGATTAAAACTACTTTTACGGATTATATCGCGTTTAATTTTAATTATTTTTAATTCCCGACGTTTCGGGTGCTTTCCAGCATCCATGGTCACGGGGGACTGAGGTGACTGACGTCCCAATGTCAAAGTTAACCCGGAGTACCTTCAGCTTTTTTAATTATTGTCTTTGGTCCGATCTACGCAAAATGAACTGAATGTATCTTGAAGTCTTGCAGTGGTATGCTTGGGTTTAGTTTTAATTTTATTAATTATAGGGTCCCAAGCAGGTGGTAGTACCCAGCCTCCTTCTCTATTGAAATTAGGATGTTTTTTTTTAATTTCAATAGCCTCACGTATCATCTTTGGTAGGAATCGGTGTTCTTTCGCGAGGATTTGTGGTCTATCAAATCCGATGTAATGGTTGAGGCCGTCTAGGATATGATCACACACTGCACTTCCCGGAACGTTGATGCTTCACATCAGCTATATATTCTTTTACGCGCCTTCTAATTGACATTTTTGTTTGTCCTATATAAGAGAGGCCATATTCACAATCAAGCTTGTACACTCTTGCATGTGGTAGAGGAATATGACACTTGACGGATGGTAAAAACTGACTAATCTTCTTCGGCGGCTTTTAGAATGTTCTAATAGAAACTCGCTTCAAGATGTAGCCAATCTTGTCTGTGACACCTCTGACATATGGTAGTACAGCAGGCACACGCTCGACTGTGGCCGGCTTCACTCGGTCAGTGTGACGTAGGCGTGGGACCCGAAGCTTGTTGTCGTGCAGAACTTGCTTGACGTACTGAAGCTCGCGGCCAGGTGTTTGCTGTCACAGATCCCTCGTGCTCTCTGTAACAAAGATTTGCCCACGGTAGCTAACTGTGAAGGATGGTGGTGAGATTCACCGTTTAAATATCGGTTTGTATGGGTCTTTTTTCTATACACAGTGCGACCTATGGTGTTGTTAGGATTTCGGATGACTAACACATCTAGGAAAGGTAAGGAATTATTTGGCTCTAACTCCATAGTAAATTGAATTTTAGAGTTTATGGAATTAAGATGTTCTAAAAATGCAGTTAGCTTTTCTGATGGTAAAATTGTGAAAGTATCGTCTACGTACCACTCGTAGATCCTTGGTGTAACAGGTGCAGTAAAGAGGACTTTCTCCTCAAAGTCTTCCATGAATATATCGGCGACAATGGGAGATACAGATGAGCCCATCGCAACATCTATCTCTCTCAATGTACTAAGTCAGAAAAACATCATTACGTTATTGTTACGAGCTTGAGGTTCGTGACAATAAAAATTGCCGATAGAATTACCAAACTTAACTCTTTAATTCACTACACTAATTAAAACTTAGAAGACACTAATAATTAATCACACTGATTCACTTTATTTCGCTCCGAAGCTTCGCTTGTCTCGCCAAATTCAATACTTCCCCGATCACATCTTGCAGCGCCTTTAAATACACATTACCAACGAAACATCCAGAATATTCAAGTAAATACGCGCGCCAACCGACTAGGCGTCGAAAGTTCGAGAGTCGGGCTTCTAGAAGCTTAGTTCTTCGTTTCGATACTAGATGGCGCTGTCGGTTGGAAGATTAGTGATGTCATTTTTTGGAAAGCTCCCCTGGCTCTCGTCCCCGACACTAGATGACGCTAGTTCCGGGTACATGACGTCAACAACGCAACACTGCCCCCTCCTAAGACATGCTCGTCCCGAGCATTATCGGCCCCATAATAACGCGCCAGGCAATCCACATGGACGATCTTAGGAGTGCCTCTTGCGCCTTTCTGTATCCGGTAGGTTACATCGTTGATCCTGGTTACAATCCGGTACGGGCCGTCCCATTTAGCTTGAAGCTTAGGAGATTTCCCTTTGCTGCGGACTGGATTGTGCAACCACACTAGTGAACCTTCGTCGAGCCATATGTTGTTCAGTTTGCGGTCATACCGGGTTTTCATCTTTTCAGACATTTGCTGGCAAGATTGTCTGACGTGCTCATAAATGTCATTCATTTTGTTCCACAAGTCATTTGCATAATCGGTTATACTGCGTGGGGCATCAGGTGGTATCCCGGTGATCAGGTCTGCAGAGTGCTCTACCAAAGTTTGCGAAAGCTGGTATCACTACTGTACTTTCGTGAACAGCGCTTCGATATGACAACAAAAACGGTTGTATGTGCTTGTCTCAATCTCGTTGTCGATTGTCTACAACTTTTGCTAGGTACCTCTCCAATGTCTGATTAAATCGTTCTACCATTCCATCAGATTGCGGGTGATAAGAAGTCGTTGTTGTTTTATGAGTACCCATAACCCGGCAAGTTTCCTGGAATATTTGAGACTCAAAATTCCTTCCTTGATCGCTGTGAATCTCTAAAGGTACTCCAAAACGACAGAAGACTTCATGAACTAGTTTATCTGCAACTGTTGAAGCTTCTTGATTTGGAATGGCGAAGACTTCTGGTCACTTAGTGAAGTAATCCATTATAACCATGAAATACTTGTTACCGCTTTCGCTCTCCGGAAATGGCTCCGCCACGTCAATGGCTATTCTCTCCCATAGTGCACCAACATTGTACAACTTCAATGCACCTCTACTACGAGTCTGAGGTCCCTTTACATCCGCACAACTTGTACATTTGCGACACCAGTCCTCGACATCGTTTCGACAGTGGACCCAGTAAAACCGTTCTCGAATCTTCAGTAGAGTTCGTTTAACTCCCAGATGGCCTCCTGAACAATCATTATGGTACAGCTGTAGAACATCCGGTACTTTAGCTTTAGGGACAACCATTTGCAAATGACAGCTGACTCCCCGAACATTTTCCCATTTACGGCACAGAACTACATCCCGAAGCAGCAAGCTGTCCCACTGGGCCCAATAGCTTTTAGTGGTCGAACTCATCGCAGAGACGTCGCTCCACTTGGGCTTGGGAGCACTGGCCTTCATCCATTCCAGAATCGGCTTGATGTCCGGATCTTCCTGCTGTGCACGTTGTAAGCTGTCCTTCCACTCGTTGCTGAGGTGGTCTGTCTGATACCACTTCCTTACTCTCTTGCCTAGTATAATGTTAATCTTCAGGACAAGGTCTTCTTGACAATGCATCTGCGTTGCCATGAGATTTCCCACTGCGATGTTCGATCTCAAAGTCGTATTCCTGCAGAGAGAACGCAGCGACAGTCTTCCAAAAGTGGGGTCGCTCTCGTTTGTGCATCCTTGCTAGGGGTCTCACTCGATAGATATTGGAACCGACGTAACCAATCCACTTCCTCGCAAGTACCAACCAGCGTGCCTTTTTCTATAATCTGTTCCCGGTTACAAAGGTTCAGCACACGTACTTCTGAGATATCAGTGGTTCTGACCAAGGTTCGAGCTACTTTCCATGGAAGGTCATTGTTTACCTTTTCCACAAGTACACAACGGTGGGCTTGCCCAGCGTTTCGAGGAAGGCTAACCGGCAAAATCGTTTCCGATCTCGGCGGAAGAACAATCTTCTTAATGCTGTACACGTTCCCTGGTAACGCACCTTCCTTAAAAAGTTCCTCCTGTCCACATTTCAAAACACCTTGCTTAACGTCGATCTCACAACAATTATCCCTCATAAAGTCTAGGCCCAGGATGCAGTCGTCCATTATATCAGCCACGATGACATTATGCAGGTAGATCACGTTGTCTAGCTTCAACTCCGCCTCTCCACGGACGGGTATACGCTGATCGGTGGCTGTTACCAAATTAATGCGTTCTCGGTTGTATGCGGAGTCCCCAAGGAACTGACTTATAAGTTGGGAACTAACAACCGTACGAGAGGCTCCAGTGTCTCTATGGTCAGTTTACACGGCATTCCGTTTACCTCGCCCTTGATGATTAGACTGTTCCCATCATGGGTTTGTGAGATCGAGATACTTGGGGCTCTTTTAACATCAGCCAGCACCCGCCCCGCAGTTCTGGCTTTTACTCGTTTCCCTGCTGTTGCTGGGCGGTGCTGTTGGCCGCACTACCCTCCTGAGATCGTTCACCTTCCCTTTCTAGGGTTCGCTTAGGGCAGCTGGATCGAAGATGGCCCCTTTCCCCACAGCCATAGCACCTAGGGCTGTATCCTTTGTTGCGGTCGCGAACTGTAGCTGCTGCAACCTCCCTGACGCGATGGGAACGATGATCCTGTCGCACGGCTTGCATTTCCAGTGCATGGGCCAACGCGTCCTTAAGCGTTTCGTGGTGCCCCAGCCTCACAGCAGCTCTGACTTCAAGGTCGCGGATGCCGTCGATGAATGTCTGCACCAGGTTCCCTTCAATGAGCGCAGGTACAGACCGGTATGCTTTTCGCACCAGCTTCTCCATCTCTAGAGCCCACTGCTGCAGGATTTAATTGATGCGCTGCAAGCGATCTTTAAGCTGCGCACGAAAGACGTGTTCCAGGTGAGCGTCGCCATATCTCGCTTCCAATGCCTCAAGGAGCTGCTCATAAGTCACTTCCTCACCGAAAGCTTCCAGAACACTAAGACCTGATCGCGCAGGCCTAGTGTGAGAGTAATCATGGCCTGACTTTTATTCCAGCTGTTCGCCTTCATAACGGCTTCAAACTGGATTTTGTAAGCTGACCAGGAAGAAGTCCCGTTGAACAGTGGCACTTTGAACCCACGTAGCGAGGGTGTTGTATCTACTACGGGAGCTGTAATTCCATCCCCTAGTTTGAGGTCGTCCAGCGTTTTCTTCACGTCAGCCATCACGTTGTCAACCCGATTGTTCACTTGGTTGATTCGGGTTTCAGCTTTCTCGATTCGGGTTTCAGCTTTCGCGATTTGGGTTTCAGCTTCTGACAGGCGGTTGTCATGCTGAGCAACCCTATCCTTCACCTCCTTGATCTCCTTCCCGAAGGTAGCGTGATGATCCTTCATAAGGAGCATCTGCTCTTCCGACCGACGGGCCTGTTCCTCTTGTCCGCTCTGCAGCTGCTCTTTCAACTGACGGACCTGTTCCTCCTGTCGGCGAGCCTGCTCCTGCAGCATCACCATCAGAGCACCTAAGTCAGGTGCTGCAGATGTAGGAGCTACTGACGGGCCTGCAGCCGGCGGCTGGCCCTCCAACGTCTGCGGCGTTGCACCACCAAATGCTCCTGCTGGCGTTGACTTCGGGTACGGACACCCTCCGTTTCCTCCTTAGGTAAAATCGGCATGATTTTATCCGACTTCTGACACCAATTGTTACGAGCTTGAGGTTCGTGACAATAAAAATTGCCGATAGAATTACCAAAATTAACTCTTTAATTCACTATACTAATTAAAACTTAGAAGACACTAATAATTAATCACATTGATTCACTTTATTTCGCTCCGAAGCTTCGCTTGTCTCGCCAAATTCAATACTTCCCCGATCGCATCTTGCAGCGCCTTTAAATACACATTATAATAATAATAATTATTATAATGTGTATTTTTTTATATATATATTATATATATATATTATTATAATTTGTATTTTATTTGATAAGAAGATAGTGCGCAAAGGGCCGCTGCCTGGGGGTCGCCGGGGCGCGTCTGGAGCTGGCGCTGGACGCGGCAGCATGCGGGCCGCCAGCCGAGCGCGAGGAGCTGCACGGTCACCTAGCAGCCCTCCGCATCCATCATCCCCACCAGAAGGCTTGGTGTCGGCTGGGTCTTCTCGGACTCAGCAAGCAGCACCCGCCGCTGGTGGAGCACGTCGCATGCATTGGTCACAAGCAATGAATGCAAACGCACTGCGGGCGTACTTTAGGGCAAAAGGGGAAGAAACTGGATGTTTGGCGTATCGGGCTAGGATGCATCGTCTTTTTGCTGAGCTGGAGCCATCTTTAACCGTCACAGAGCAAAACCTGGCAGACCGAGTTCGGTATATCTTGCGCTCAATCATATTTGATGTCGCCGAACTCGAACGGCTACGACGTGAGGCTGTTCCCTCGTCGGATGAGAATGCTACGGCTGAGTATGCGGTGCCACAAATGGTAGAGCAACCCGCAAACGTGGATGCCGCCGTGAATACCCCAGTTGTGGTTGATTCAAACGATGATGAAACAGTCGCCCAGGAACTGGAATTAGAGCATATGAGGAGTACATTGGAAGAGGCGATTGTGGAAACGCGCAGTACGCCTCTCGAAAATCGACCGCGACTTCCCCGCATAGCCCTAAGCAAGCGGAATCGGGCTGTCGTGAGGGCTCTGAACCCAATGCTGGTGACCTATTTGGAAGCCAGCCGGGACCTTGCGAGACGGACTCAATTCTTTTTGGCGCCGCGCTGGCAGTCTGCCGTATCATAGGCGCCAAGGTTTCCACGGCTGGACGCGCTACTGGCCATAGTAGCGCTATCCCTGCATGGAGAAGAAGAATTGAGGAACGTATCGCAAAGGCTAGAGCTCTCATCGGCAGACTGATATGCTTCAGATCAGGCAACAACAGGCCAAGAATTGTGCGCACCGTCAGGATGGCGTTTGCTGGGACAAATGTCAGTTTGTCCCAGCCGGATATAACGCAAAAACTGACGGAGCGCATAGATGATCTGAAGCAGAGAATCGCTGCTTGGGGAAAGCGGATTCGGCGATATACCGAGAGGTCGACACGGTTCAACCAGAATCGTCTCTTCCAGAGTGATCAGAAGAGGCTCTATGAATCATTGGAGCGACCAATGGTAAGTGGAACGGGTCCAGCACCGAATCAGGCCGACACTGTAGCATTCTGGCGCGGCCTGTGGTCAGAGCCCGTAAACCACAGCGAGGGCCCTTGGACGGAAGTTGTGGCGGGTCAGTGTGCGTGTATTACGCCCATGGACCCCGTCATCATAACGCCGGATGACGTAGCTGAGGCGGTCCGTAGGGCCCCGAACTGGAAAAGTCCGGGGCTTGACGGGCTGCATCACTACTGGCTGAAGGGGTTCATGGTGTGTCACTCTGTGCTCGCCCGACAGTTTCAAGAGGCTCTCAACCAGAAGTCGCTCCCAAGCCTCTTCACTACTGGGATCACTCATTTGGTTCCTAAAGACCAGGGTACCACAGACCCGAGCAAATACCGCCCCATCACGTGTCTACCGACCATATACAAGACACTAGCATCCATTTTGAGCGCGAGAATCACTTGTCACCTGGAATTAAATCAGGTGATGTCACGCGCTCAAAATGGATGTCGGGGCAGTGGTCGTGGAACCAAGGAACCACTCCTTATTGACGCGGTCATTACCAAAGTGATGAAACGCAAACGTCGGAACTTCTACGCCGCCTGGATAGACTACAGAAAGACATTCGACTCGGTGCCCCATACATGGCTAAAGAGAGTCCTCGAGCTGTACAAGATAGATTGTACAGTTAGAGACTTCCTCGAGCAGTGTATGGGGCAGTGGAGTACGATCCTTCATCTGGGCGAGCGGATGATGGCTGCGGAGAACCACATAAGGATAAGAAGGGGTATCTTCCAGGGCGATTGTCTGAGTCCAATCTGGTTCTGCCTCTCTCTGAACCCTCTCAATACCTTACTGGAGGGCTCCGGGAGGGGATTTTAGCTACGGAAAGGAGGGACAAAAGTGACCCACCTTTTTCTATATGGATGACCTCAAGTTATTCGCCTCCAGTCCCTCCCATCTTATGGAATTGCTAAACATCACTTGTGAATTTAGCAATTCCATTGGAATGGCGCTTGAGACGGATAAGTGTGTGGTCCTCCATGTTGAAAGGGGAAGGGTTGCTAACTCTGAGGGCATAGACTTATCTATGCCCGTCAACTTAATAACCCTTTCCGAGGCTGAAACATACCGATACCTGGGTATGTCCCAAAACATCGGTATCGATGAGACTGGTATGAAACAGTCAGTTTGCGACGTGTTTTATGCACGCTTGACCAAAGTGCTTAACAGCCTTTTGTCCGGTGTGAATAAGGCACACGCATATAACGGCTGGGTCATGCCTGTCCTCATGTATACCTTTGGCATACTCAGGTGGACTCAGACTGAACTTAACGCCCTGGATAGAAAAGTCCGCATTACCATGACGTCCCATAGGATGCATCATCCGAGATCGTCGGTAATGAGGCTGTACTTGCCGCGGAAGCATGGTGGTCGTGGCTTCTTGAGCGCGCTCACCATGCATAATCGCGAAGTGTGCAGCCTCCGTGATTACTTCCTGGCGAGATCGGATGATTCATTCTATAAGGACGTCATTTCTTGTGATAAAGGACTTACCCCTCTATCCTTAGCCAACGAGCAACGGCAAGACCCGGCAGTGCAGATCATTTCCGACCGGGAGACCGTATGGAAGGAAAGGAGCTCCACGGGAGGTTCTACAAGGCTCTACATGAGCCTTTCGTAGACACAGTTGCCTCTCTCCACTGGCTACGCTTTGGTGATCTCTTCGGGGAAACCGAGGGTTTTGTCTGTGCAATACAGGATCAGGTTATTAAGACCAACAACTATCGGAGATACATCCTAAAGGATGGCACCGTCGACATCTGGCGAGCCTGTCGCCATCCCGGTGAGTCACGTAGGCATGTTATCTCCGGTTGTTCGGCGCTTTCTAACTCTGAGTACTTGCACAGGCACAACCTAGTAGCCAGAATTCTACACCAGGAGCTCGCTCTGAAATACGGTCTCGTGGATCGGAAGTTGCCGTATTACAAGTACTTGCCGGAAGCCGTGCTCGAAAATGATCGCGCCAGGCTCTTTTGGGACCGGGCCATCACAGACAGGACTATTCTTGCGAATAAGCCTGATATTGTGCTGATGGACCGGGCACAGTCAAGGATATTTTTGGTCGACATTACCGTTCCGTATGACGAGAACCTTGTGAAAGCCGAAACAGATAAGCAAACAAAATATCTGGACCTGGCTCACGAGGTGACCGACATGTGGGGTGGTCTGCCGACCGAAATTATTCCTGTAGTCGTCTCTGCTAATGGGCTAATCCCAGTCAGCCTCTCGGGTCATCGGAGGCGGCTGGGACTACGTGGCGGACCGCTCCAGGCTCAAATGCAGAAGGCGGTGCTCCTCGATACCGCCCGCATCGTCCGCCGGTTTCTTTCCCTTTCCTCCTAACCCTCGGCCGTTTGGTCTCCCCTGCCGAGGACCTCCATCTGGTTGGGCTTATTTATTTATGTACTTTTATATTTATTTTATGTTATTGATATTTATGTATATTTATCTTTTCATTTTCATTTATAATTATATATTTATAGAACCCAACCACATGAGAAAACTATATAGATACCCCACAATAATAATAATAATATAATTTATTTAGTTCCAAACATATACACAAATTAACATTAATTACTTAATGGAATGAACTAAAAAGGCGTCTACTCAGCAGAAATGTTATAGAAACCACATAGTGGTAACTATAACTACTGATTTTCAGTAAACGCCAAAGACATAGGTGGAATTAAATAAACTTAACTTATTGCACTAATCACAGGTTCTAACACTTATGAAAATACATACTTTACTTACACATTTATTTTGCTTTTGTATCTTGTCAAATAATTTAATTGTGTGTCTTGTGTCTTGCACATGCCTTTTGTTGCGCTTTTTGTTGTGCCCTTTTCCTAAATGCTAACAGTTTTATTTTTATTTTTAAATTGTTATAAGTGTATATATATATATATATATATATATATATATATGTATTTGACAAGATACAAAAGCAAAATAAATAAATTTACAATTAAGCAAGTATTCGTTAGTTTTATAATATATAGACACAGTATACTTTATAAGAAAAATGTGATACATCGACACAGAATTCTACTTACTTTGCAAATTTAAAAGGTATTCTTTTAGTTTTATTTTAAAAGTGCCAACTGTTTTGCTTTGCATTTGCAACACTTTGTGGCAGCATACCGAAAGCTACCACGAAACGCGGCCGTTCTGTGTCTTGGGTACAATAATCGAACAGTTTCCCGCGAGAAGCTTAGTTATTCGTTTCGATACTAGATGGCGCTGTCGGTTGAAAGATTAGTGATGTCATTTTCTGGTAAGCTCCCCTCGCTCTCGTCCCCGACACTAGATGGCGCTAGTTTCGGGGAACAGGCATGCCAGTTAGCGTATACACATGAAAGTAGCTGGCACGTGTATCCCCAGCCTAAAATGTGAAACTATTAAAAATAGGAGCTGAGAAATGTATATTTTTTCTGACCCTAAGATGGGGGTGTTGTGGTCTAAAGCTCAATGAGTAAAAAATAATTTAAATTGTTGTTATCTTTTTATTAGCAACGCTGGGATCGTCCGGCGAGAAGCAAACCCGCCCCCAAGGGTAGGACGCAATAAAAGACCGCATCCTATCGCAATCGGACTTTCTATAGTGCCGAACACGGTGGCAACCTGCAGAATGCAACCGCGACGTTAATGTGACTGGAACCCCACTCCGGACAAGACAATGATCCGACGAGCCCAGAGGGGCGTCAACGGAAATCTGATATCCGTCCGGATGATTGATCAGCAGAAGGTCCAACAGGAAAGGATCTTTCAAGACATCTGGGAAATGCATAGGCCAAGTTACCAATTGTGTCAGACCATATGTTAAGGCAAATCAATAAACAGATCTCCCCCGCATGATTGTTTAAACGTGAACGGAGCCATGTGTGGGCGTTAAAATCGCCAAGGATCACGATCTCTGCGGATGGGCTTTGCTGTAGCATGGAATCTATAGCCACGTGGTCGATGAGTCGGTCTGTTTCGGTATTACCGCTATGGGACCTATATAGGCACCCGTAGACGCGAGCATGGTTGTCGCTGTCTACGCGCAGCCATAGGATGGACAGTTCCATACCTTCAAGACTGCCGAGGCATCGAAAACAGATGTCCCCTCTGACGTATACGCAAACTCCAGCCCGGGCACTAGGGAGTGTTCTTGAACCCCGGATAGAAGAGATATGAATTATCCGTTGGAGAGGACACCTAAGTCTCGGTTAAAGAGAGCAAGACCGGCTTCGCCGTCTCCAGATGGTAGTGGACAGCGTTAGGGTTCGAATGAAGTCCCCTAATGTTGCAAAATTTCACGGAAAGCGTGGCAGGAGTCACCTTGGTGTTGTTGCTCCGCTTGTCCCGAGCTGTTTTAGTCGCGAATGGAATCCACCCCTTCCCCTAGAATACGCAGGGCAGCCTGAGCACCCACGCTCAGTAAGAGTAGGATAACTTGGTCGTGGATGCTCAGCGAGGGATTCTCCGTCAACAGGGATGCCCTCCTGGGGTAGTTTTCTAGTGATTCCGCTACCATGTAAAAGGAGGGGAGGGGATTGGGCCTCCGGCCACCTGCACTTACCAAGCGAAACGCGTTTAAATGATACACTCGTTGTATAATAATATAATTTGAACTCCGTATGCTCGCTGAGATGGACCTAGATTAAACTGTTACTGCGTTTTGTCTTTGTGCTATTAGTTATTATATTTTTTTACACATAAAAAGAAAATTAATAAGCCATGGCGAAGAAGAAGATGGTGGATGATTTCCTTACACCGTAACAGAACTATGTACGGAGAACAGAATAGAGTATGCTCTCGTTTTTATCGCGAGACTGACGAGACCCAACTAGAGAGTCAAAACTCGAGCGCAAAAAACCGACAGGCTTCCGAGAGGAAACGAGGGCCGCGAGACGTGTCGAGATGAGACGACAGCACCATGTTCAGTGTACCCACTCGTACTCGGCCTGTCTTATGGTGTCTCGACGAGCGTGTACAGCCGCCATAAGATTTTACTGTACAAGAGTATACATTGCTCCGAACATACTACATAGGTACTACCAACTAACTTTTTTAAATTAGTTATTTAATAATGTCGCGCGCCTAAGTTGACGTCATGTACCCGGAACTAGCGCCATCTAGTGTCGGGGATGAGAGCGAGGGGGAGCTTACCAGAAAATGACATCACTAATCTTTCAACCAACAGCGCCATCTAGTATCGAAACGAATAACTAAGCTTCTAGAAGCCCGACACTCGAACTTTCGACGCCTAGTCGATTGGCGCGCGTATTTACTTGAATATTCTGGATGTATATAGGTCCCATAGCGGTAATACCGAAACAGACCGACTCATCGACCACGTGGCTATAGATTCCATGCTACAGCAAAGCCCATCCGCAGAGATCGTGATCCTTGGCGATTTTAACGCCCACACATGGCTCCGTTCACGTTTAACCAATCATGCGGGGAGATCTGTTTATTGATTTGCCTTAACATATGGTCTGACACAATTGGTAACTTGGCCTATGCATTTCCCAGATGTCTTGAAAGATCCTTTCCTGTTGGACCTTCTGCTGATCAATCATCCGGACGGATATCAGATTTCCGTTGACGCCCCTCTGGGCTCGTCGGATCATTGTCTTGTCCGGAGTGGGGTTCCAGTCACATTAACGTCGCGGTTGCATTCTGCAGGTTGCCACCGTGTTCGGCACTATAGAAAGTCCGATTGCGATAGGATGCGGTCTTTTATTGCGTCCTACCCTTGGGGGCGGGTTTCCTTCTCGCCGGACGATCCCAGCGTTGCTAATAAAAAGATAACAACAAGCTTTAGACCACAACACCCCCTACATCTTAGGGTCAGAAAAAATATACATTTCTCAGCTCCTATTTTTAATAGTTTCACATTTTAGGCTGGGGATACACGTGCCAGCTACTTTCATGTGTATACGCTAACTGGCATGCCTGTAACTAGCATACAAGTAGCTAGCACGACATTTGATTTACTTGCATGCCCGTTGAGGGAGGGGATGCGGGGGGTTGCCAAACTGACACGTGTGAACAGACGCGACAGCTACGGGCATGTCAGTAGCTGACTCGTTGTGGTCGTAGGCGCACGTTATTATTTTTTTCGAAGGTCAAGTTTTTTTAAGTCATCCTTTTGTTGGTTTTTTGTATTCAACATGGCACGATGGGGAGATGAGAAAACTATACAGTTCATTCATTTGTACAGAGACTACGAATGTCTTTGGAAGCCGACTAGCCCGCTTTACAAAAACAAACAACTTGCATGCCAGTATTACATGCAAATGCATCCGCAGTGTGCCAGTTACTCGTACATGCCAGTAACTTTCACGCCAGCTACTTTCCCGATTTACTGGCACGTGTATCCCCAGCCTAAAGGCAATGTAATTGAATTTCTAATTCAATATTCAGTATTCAGATTAACATTCAACATTCTTCACCAAATTTAGATCTAACCTATTCCTTTTACGAGCTAGAGATCTGTGACTTAAGGACAGGCAGGCAGACATTATTAGGGTTCCGTTTATCATTTAGGAAACTATTATGTATTCTGTGTTTTGAGTACGGAACTTTTAAATGAACTTAATTATTGCATTTTAAAACTTAAAAACTTATAACCACTGCCTAACATAATTATTTCAGTCTTTAATCCATTAGTTTCACCTAAATGGTGCGATTCTATCAATAACTTCACAATATCGTCATCAACACAATTCTTTTCCTTATTCTTGTATAATATAATCTCAAATGGCTTAGCAAGATCCTTCGTTATGCCGAAAATATTGCAGCATTAATTTTGAAATAAATATATGGTAAAGTTGAGGATTAATGTTAAGGATTATGTTAGACGAAAACACGATTTCGTAAAATTTTCTCAATAGAAAAAAAATCCAATGTTACCTCCAAAATAAACAATAAACCTGTTATTCATAAAATAATTAAATAAGATCATGAAACTTTGTATACTAACTGCAACTATAAAACAGTGCTTATGTTATTTACTTTTTTTAAAATACCATTATTTTCACTGTAAAAAGAAATTACCTAAAGTATCGGCCTCTTGAAGCGTGATTCCTGCCGCACGGTCACTTCGCTTCGGCCTTTGAACGGGGAGGTTGTGTCGCTTACGATCAGAATATACATTACACAGCAACAGGACGACGTAAAATTAAAATGGGAAATAACCGTAATAAAAATAAGAAGCGACTGGCTTGGCGTTAAGAAACAGGCATAAATATGATAAATCTAATGAAATAAGTGTCTAACGACCTTTCTACTTACAGTATTAGTGATTACAAACATGTCGGTACATAGCATACGACGCGCGGGCAAGTGGGGACGAAATTAGAATTTGAGCTGACTTACTCTATCCCCTTATGGAAAAAAACAAAGGTGATTTCTCTGTTAGCGATATGTCTTGATGCAACAATCAGTTTGTTATCAATAACATTGTGTTCTGTGTAATTCATCGCCAGTTTTAAAAAATTCGGGATAATCATAGCTTAAAAGTAGACCACTTATATACTCGTAGGTATGCCTCAACGGTGTCGTTACAAACACGTCGTGACAAACATATTAATGTCGTGATAACATATTCAATAAGTTAAAAAGGTACAACTTGAAAAGTTAATAAGTCTTATTACAAAATATCTTTCGTGACACAGATTATAATTTAAACGCGAGACTAACTAATTACATAAGTACTACTTTTTGCATTAAGACTGAATAAGTCGAAATGATATGTCATGCGCATAAATGGGTAATGTGTAAGCTTGCAGTGTTAATTTCCTGTATAAACTGATGTCATGATTCTGAATAAATATACATTAGTAAGCAAGTGATCTGCTAACACAAAACAAACAAATATATAAAACTAACCATATTATCTTGTTATATGCTCTAGTCGACCCGTGAAATATCGGGATAAATCATGCGGTAACTGATAAACTGAAATAGTTTTAATTCCGATTTTTAGATTTATATATACCATAGAGCCATGGTAGCTCAGTGGTTAACGCTCGCTGTAAATATAACAGAACGCGAGTAACCCGGGTTCGATCCCCGCCGGCACCAATGAAATTATTAATTGCAATTTTAAGTGCTGATTTACCACGTGCTCGGCGGTGAAGGAAAACATCGTGAGGATACCTGCATGTCTGAGGAATAAGAAAAAAAAATATTTCGAAGACATGTGCAGTTCGTCAACACGCATTTGGGCAGCGCGGCGGACACTTCCTCGCCCTAAACCCTCTCAGAAATGAGGGGGGGTCCGGAGCCCAGCAGTGGGACGTATATAGGCTGTAACTTTACTTTACTTTACTTTAGAGCGGACATTGGAGCCATTTACATACAAAAACTGAGCTGGCTCGTGTGTGACGCCCTCTAGCAAAACTACGCTGAATATTTATTAGGAAAACATTTTTTGACGCTAATAAATATAAGGTACAGACATCAAAGTATGGATAATGTTGTTGAAGATTACCAATATGGAGTGTAGAGGTAAGGAATTTTGCTCTTCAAGACCAAGACATTCCACAAATCACACCTCCACTATCGCCTAATACACCACCAGCTATTTGCTACCCTGAAGTAAGCCATAGTTTTCTTGGCATACTATGGCTTACTTCAGGGTATTGACAATCCCACACGCTTAGAATCATGTATTGACCATTTTATGGTTAAAACGAGAAATAATTGGCAAACCTTTCCATTAACTGACTACTCACTCATATTATTAATTTTAAATAGTCCGAAAATTAACAAGTCTGTACCTAATACTAAGTGGCTCAAAATTGACTTTGATGCTATAAAAACTCAATTGGCTAAAGAAAACTGGAAACTACAAACTTACCTCAGTTAATAAAACTGCCGAATATTTAATCTCTAAATTACACATTAATACAAAGGAAGTTTCCATATCTCATAGAAAACAAAGACTAAAGCCGTGGATTACGCCAGGTGTCCTTATCTAAATCCGTAAAAGGAATAAGCTTCAGAAACAACATAAAAATACACCAAATGATAAAAATCTAAAAACCATATACTGTAGCTACCGAAAAACATGTCATAAGCTTGTTAAATTAAGAAAAACAAATTACTACCGCTTTAAATTCAATCAAAATACAGGATGCATTTAAAGGACTTGGAATGCAATTAAAGATATTTGTAATTTGAGTAAAAGAACTGAAAACACATCTGATGAGCTTTTCAACACTAAAACAGCAACGACAGTCTTCTGATGAGGTAAACAGTTACTTTACTAATATTGGTCAGGAGTTACACAAGTACAATTGTCTATCAATGTAGCCAGGTCGAACTCGTTACCAAATTCTTTTCCTTGTTCATAAATTTATTTCAAGCCTGAGATCAAGTAATGCCTCTGGTTGGGACAGCATAACATCGCACATCAAAATCATGTCCTTATATTGTTGAACCTGTAACTTACCAAGTAAAACTTGAGCTTAAAAACCGGTATCTTCCCAGATATCTTCAAAAAGGCTTTAGTATATTATTATATTATATCATTTTTGGGGTATCTATATAGTTTATATTATTATTATTAATATTTTGTTGCATGTATTGATTTTATATTAGGTATATTTATATTCACCTACCTAGTATTCACTGTTTTATTCCTTGACACCTTTGGTTGCCTGGAAGAGATCGCTATGTAGCGATAAGATAAATTTGTTTGTGGTGTACAATAATCATTCATTCATTCATTGGTTAGCTACCTTGAGAGATTTGACCTGCAAAGCCCTAACCAATACGGATTCAGGAAGAATAAATCAAATGAGGATGCTGTCCTCCATCTCACGTCTCATCTATCTCCATCTCTCTTACTTAAACAAAAATGAAAGGTGTATCGGTGTCTTTTTAGATCTTCAAAAGGCATTTGACACGGTGTTGATCCATATACTATTGACAAGGCTAGAAAACCTAGGTATTAGAGGTGTGCCACTACAATGGTTCAGGTCCTACTTAAGCAACAGGACACAAATAGTCAGGATCAAATTCGATTCGAAGATATTTCTAAACTTATTTGCGATGATATATTAGTTAACCTAAGAAAGCAAATAAAAGTTTATTTTTTTTTTTTTTTATTATCCCCCTTCGGGGGCTTTAAGCCCCCAAAAAACCCCCCCCCCCCGAAAAATAAAAACCCCCAAAAAAAAAAACCCCCCACAAAATAAAAAAAAAAAAAAAAAAAAGGGGAAAAAAAAACACACCCCAACACCCAAAACTAAAAAAAAAAAAGACCCCCCCAAAAAAATATTTAGTTTGTTATTCGATTCCAGCACTGACATTTTAGCAACATCGCAACGCTCGGTGTTTGTTGGGGTTGTCGTCGTGTCGTGGTGTTTGTTGAAATCGTGTGCCTGTGTACAGATGGATGTCCTTCAATGATTTAATCTGAAAATTGATTTATTTCGTTATTTAAAGAAAAATATAATTTAACTAGTTTATTAAAATTTCATTGCATTATCATTAAAAGCTTTCTGGAAGAACTGGGAAGTCAGTATGATGAAGTCCTTTTACATACCTCGGTGCGATGTCTTAGTAGAGGAAGGTTTTGGAAAGGTTTTTTTCTTTACGCCGTGATATAATACTGTTTTTTCAGCAAAATAATAAAGAGTACACTGAATTTCAAAATGATGAATTGTGGTGTAGTGGTTTAGTAAATAGTGGTTTAACCTTCCTAAGTGAGATTACGAGAAAACTCAATAATCTCTATCAGAGTTTACAAGGTGTAAAATAATATGATCTCCAATGTGACAAATAAAGTGTTTGCATTTGAGGAAAAGCTAATCATTTATCATGAAGAAATACAGAACAAACAGCTGCAAAATTTTCAAACTGATGAAAAGTAAAGATGACGGTACCAACATTTCGGAAAAAAACTGCTCCAAATTTCAAATTACATAACTGCACTTTTCAACGAATTTCGAAAAAGGTTCCAAAATCTAAAAAGCATAAAAAAAAGTTTGTTACTTATAGAAAATCCATGGCATTTAGAAACAACGACTATCTCAGAATTCACTTCAGATTTAAATTGTAATCACTCAGAATT